CCACACTTTTCTAGACCTTAGTCTATCCTCCTTATATTTTTGGAAGAATGTAAATAATTCATTGCTCCCTGACCTAAATTGATATTGTTTCTTCTCTGTGTTTGTTTGAATAGTTGAGTTCTTGACTTTCAGGGATATAGTCGCAAAACAGTAGAATTATGACATACTGTTCATGAAAATGTAGCTGGTAACTCGTCATTCATCAGAGACAACAGTACCACAGATTAACTTTTCCTCCAGATTTGCAACTCAGACAAAAATTATACAGTAAACCTATACGTCTTGTTTTGGTGTCTTCATGAATAAAAATTCCTATGTCACATACTGATAAGCTTTTCTACTTTAAAATAAGAGTATTCAACGCTACAGAGTGCCACAAACTTTTATCAACCTCATTCAACAGCTGTATAATACTACATGCCAAGCGATCCACAATCGAAGGCTCAGTAATTCCTTTGAAGTGAAGACAAGAGTAAGTCAAGGCTGCTACCTACTATCACCGATCATCTTCCTGATTGTGGTCGACTGGATCATGCGACAAACCATGAGGAGCTACAAGATGGACATAGGCTGGCTTGACCGATGAAAAGACCTAAGAAGATTTGGATTTCGCCAACGGTGGTGATTTATGTCTAATGTTTCACAAATTCGAAGATCTACAGGCAAACACCAACAGGATGACAGAAGAGGCAGCGAAAGAAGACGGGACTTCAAGTGAATGTAGAGAAGACAGAGATGATGAAGACACCCAACCATTAACAACAACAACCAGCACCAATCACCATGAACGGGAGAAATCTAAAGGAAGTAGTCTATTTCATCTATCTAGGCAGCATTGTTTCAACTACAGGTGGTGGCACAGATGATGATGTCAAAACAGACAGGATCGGGAGAGCGAGCAAGATAGGCCCTCCTTCATTAATCTGAAATCAGTGTGGAGATCTACTGTACTCAGTATGAAGCGTGAACAGGATCCGGATATTCAACACCAACCTCAAGTCAGTACTTCTCTGTGATGGTTGAGAGACTTGACTCGACACGAAAAGCATTTCCAACAAACTACAGAGATTCATCAACAGCTGCCGCCTATGCTCACTCATTACTGAAGATCTGATAGATGGCCAGAATAATAAGAGTAAGCAAGGAGGAACTCTGGGTGGCTGGCTGGTTGGGTGGGTGGGTGGTGGGTTTGTTGGGTGGGTGTGAGTGTTTGGGTGTTTGGGTGTGTGGCTGGCTGGCTGGCTGGTTGGCTGGCTGGCTGGCTGGCTGGCTGGCTGGCTGGCTGGCTGGCTGGCTGGCTGGCTGGCTGGCTGGCTGGCTGGCTGGCTGGCTGGCTGGCTGGCTGGCTGGCTGGCTGGCTGGCTGGCTGGCTGGCTGGCTGGCTGGCTGGCTGGCTGGCTGGCTGGCTGGCTGGCTGGCTGGCTGGCTGGCTGGCTGGCTGGCTGGCTGGCTGGCTGGCTGGCTGGCTGGCTGGCTGGCTGGCTGGCTGGCTGGCTGGCTGGCTGGCTGGCTGGCTGGTAACGAACCAACGAAGCAAGAGCCCATCGCCGAACAAATATGCAGACGAAGAAAGTGGAGATGGATTCAGCCTACATTGATTAGACCGACTGAGGACATCACGCACCAGACCAGGCCCTCGAGTGGAACCGAAATGGGAGACGACTAATTTGGCGTCGAGGGGAGTGTGATATGGAGGAGATGGTGTGAGTGGGAAATGAAAGCTTGTGGTCAGTGGTGGAGCCGGGTTTTGACGACTGGAGAAACGACAGTGCAATGAAGACGTCCTACTGAAGCGGAATGTTCCATTAGGAAACCAAGGGAAAAATAACAATAAATAAATCACTGGGCTCTACAATACCGTATTTCACACTTGGAAGCATGTCATGTAGCTACATGAACTTATATATATCGATACATTTATCCATTAGTTATTAAGAATCCTGTGAAATAAACTGTTACACAACTTTAATCTCATCATTAGCTTAATGTGTGGATAACTGTCAGAAATTTAAGTTTATGTGACCACTCGTCGTGTGTGTATTTCTCTGTGTGAAGTATTGAATTGTACACGAGCAGGAGACTATAACGAAAATATGTATTCGCTCGAATCCCTGTCGTTTTAAAGTTACCATGGGAACATTCCGTTTATTCTATTTTATCCTTGAGTTAGGTGACTGTGAATAACTTCACCATAGTGACAACAATAAACAAAATTTTTGATACACACAAGAATTTAAAAATACTACGAAATACCAAGAATGTGCAGATTCCAAAAACAGCAAAAAAAACCATTTTATTAATTAACTTTTACGAGTTTCGCTGAAGAAAAGATGTCAACAGCAGATAATGAGAGAAAAGGATTTCACATTTTTTATGCACAAAAGTTTTGTTGACTACAATCCATGTTTGTTACAGTATGTCCTTTTGTCGTTAGATTGCGGTTTCTGGAAGCTGAGAAGTAGGAGGGATGAGATGTTTCTTATTTAATTTCCTGTGTACAACAAAATATGTCAGTAGTGATAAATTACATAAATCTTTGTGTAGGGATTGTCAAATGTTATACTCTTGTATAAAGCATTCATCTATGCAAAGATAAATTCATGATATCCTTATTTTCTTTAAAAACGTTTTGAAAAAGATGCATCAGTTGTTGTTCTTATTGCTGTTTAGAAATTGAACAGTTGACATTATATTTCCTTTAATTCGTTTTTTGTCACCATTCAAAATTCATTCCGCGCACTCGTTTATCACTTTGTTTGTGTACGCACGTCCACTTTTTAGTCTGTGATTTAAACAAAGAGATAGACACATTTTCCTTATTTCTGTAACTTCACTGTCATATCTCTCAATCGTAAAATTTTCTTCAGAGTCAGAAATGGAATCCATTTGACCAGTTTATCCATCTTTTCTGTGATATACAAAATGTGTCATGTAATGAAGTCACTGCTAATGAATTTTAGTCCATTTGGCGACATTTTGTTTTAGACTTAATACATTGTTCACTGTTCAATTTTCCGGTTAATTTAGTGATACAGCAATGACTAGCTGAGACAGCAACGACAACAGATATGATGATGACAGTGATGATGGTTGTGACAGACATGGTGTTTATCAAATGAAAAGTCACTGTAAATATTCAAGAATTTTAAAAATTATGAAAGAAACATTACCAAAACCTTCGTAATTAGTATATATATCCCTCCAGTTTCCAGAACATGAGTTCCCTTGGTAAACGAGAAAATGGCTGTAAAGAGACATGCGGAAAGACAGTCTGTGTGGACAATGTAGTTTTTAGAAAATATGTGACACATGAAGACGATAAAATTGAACAGTTGGTTACAAAAAATATTAAGAATTAAAAGAAAAGCCCAAAAATCAAAGAATATGAGTGAATGAAGACATTGTTATCTATAAGGATTGAAGTATTTGAAATTTCATGTTTACTTTTGTTTATACTAGATTCTTACTTAATCCTTTGATGTCCGAGAAATGTAAAGATAATATGCCTTCAGTACACTACTTCTTGAAAATGGTGATGTTCTAGAACTACTCTTTACTCAATATATTCAAAATGTATCTGAATCATAGATACATTTATTCAAACATCTCATTTAAACGAAGCACTTTATGCTGAAAGCCGGTAGATTAATAGGTTTTTAGATTTCCACTGTAAAACTAAGTGTATTTAATATGAATAAAACTTGTACATTGTGTTAGGATGCAATTCCATTTTTTTTATTAGATTTGTCACATAGTGTAACAGTACTGTTTACTAAATTACGTTTCGGATATAGTTTATTGTCCACAGTCATCAAGATAACTACACAACTTTGAGATATCCTTTCTATAGTCTTAATTTCCTCGTCTCTTTGTGAAATGGGTAGTAAGATATTCCGTATATCCGGAACAGTTACTGAGTCATTCCTGTTGCATGTATTAGGTGTTGATTCGATAAACAAAGATTCAGCTATCAATCTTTTCCTCCACTCTGCTACATTAGTTTTAAGGATTCCCACCCTGTCCCATCCTGCTGTGCGGCCGAGTGTAATCGCATGCAAAGCCATGGCTGAGTTTTTTTCTAAATTCCTTACATTACCAGGATCTATCAATTTTGACCAAGCTAGGTTTTTATGCTCAGATAGCCTAATTGACTCTGGTCGACTACTTTGACCTATGTATCTGACCTCGTAATCACTGAGAGGGATTTGGTAAACTAAGTTATTCTGCTTAGTTTGATCAATGGGATCCTTGAAGCTAAAAAGACTATTCCCGAGTTTGTAGGTTTAAATGCCACTCTAATCCCAGCCTTATTGTTAATTCTACGTAGTGTCTCTGAGATGACTTCTCTGTACGGTAATACTGTAGAGGTTTTGAATTCTCTATTCACAGTATTGCCACTATTATTATCAACATGATTATTACCACCATTAACACATGTGTTAATAATACTAGTTATGTTTTTCTTATGATTCCTAAGGAACTTAGCAATTAATTGTGGAGGGTAATTATTGGGGTGTAAGGTGGCCTTAATGTATCTAGTTTCTTGTTTTAGATCTTTCCGTTTTACTAGCAAATTTTTTGGGCCTGTTATGCAGACATTTTACTAAGCTAACTTTAACTGACACAAGGTGAGACGTTTTTAAGTCTAAGTTATGGTTTGAATGTGAAGGTTTTCTGTAGACACTGGTGTCTAAACCCCATCTTGTTTCCTTCAAAATAGGCATTTTCGAGTTTTCAGCCCGTTGTTTCTGTTGGACGATCAAACAGAATTCACTTGGAAATTTAGGTATTTAAACTTTATATGTGATTGATTCTACAGCAACCATTACGGAAGGGTTGTCAGTACAAAAGTTTTATAGTGGACTTTATTGCTACTAAATAATATAAGCATTTGTAAACCACTTGCAATAATCACCAGTGTCCGCTACCGATAAGCACTGTTGATTCCTGAAAGGGACTCAAGATAAATTTCACAAACCTTCTAATTCAATAACGATCCAATGCCAGCTGGTAACTTGCTTCAAAATGGACTTTCTAATTTTTTGAGGAGACAACCACCTAAAGTAATTAAAATTTATTGTGCTAGTGCTATCTGTCAGCCAGTATTTTTGGTTAGTGAGTTCACTAACCATTATTCATAGGTAATCTTCATCCACTAGCAAACAATATACAGTTTATGACAAAAAAAAGTAAAACACAAGTTTGAATACATGTGCAAGGATTTTTGCGCGATATTTAAACTCCAGGGAATTTATTTGTGGATCGTAACTAGGAGGTTTAGATCTGCTTATTTTATTCACTACATTTTGTAAATTATTTCCTCAACAATCAAATTAAACGTCAACCCATTTTTTTTTCAGGCTTGGAGATCTATGGAAGGTAAAAATAATCATTATAATCAGTGTAAATGCCAAAGATTTTTGCCGTGTGCAACCAATCCACGTTACTGTTCAAAATGCAAGCATTCCTGGACAATCCATGGTGAGTTAAAGCGGTTACCTTCGATGAAAAGACTCCATGTTATTAAATCCCACTGGTTTCGAAATATACGAAACTCCTGTTCCAACGGTCTCATCTAATCAAGTGTGAGATGACTGGATTTAAGTTAAATCCATTTAAATCCAAAACACCAGACGTATACAGAAATTCCAGAAGAATTTTCAGTAGTGATGGACATCAGTTGTAGAGCCATAAAAACCAGGGGGATGGATAAGTTGCGTCTTCTAGTTTGGGAAACCTCAATGGCACACGCATATAACATCATGTAAAATCTAACCTAGAACTAAAAAGTGTAGCACTAGCATGTCACAATTTGTCACGTAATTTGAATCCTATGGCTAAAATTTTTCAGGATCTATCAGTTCCTGGTGTTGCTCAAGAATTAACTGTATTCATACCCAACTTGGATGACTGAGGAGGTCACAGCTTTTACATCGAATTTTAGGGAATCCATCTGCAAGACAGAGACTAGTAATTACTCGATTTAATTCAGTCGGAATGTTCTCTGGCTGGTGTTAATGCACGATGAATGCTTATTCGAAACCTTGCCAACTACATTATTCAGAAATGTTGCATTGATTCACTCTATAGGGAAGCACCAAGATGGCATTAACAAACTGACCTGTACGAATTATGAGGAAAAGATAGGCTGAAAAAGTAATATCATTTGCCCCTTAAGCAATTCGTACTTCAAAACATAATAATAAAACTGCAGTATGTTGAGTTTTGTGATTTCAAACGACTGACCACCGTGATATACTCCTTCATGTTGAATACTGATGAATATTCACTGTGATAAGTAAAATACGTATCGTTACTTGCCCTGCTGTTGGTATACATTGCCTTCAAATGTGTGGGTGAATTTGGAAATATGAAATATAGCTGTATACTCAAAGTAATCTCTAAAACTATTAGTGTAAGTTATTATTGAGTTACAACCAGTCAAAAGTTGAAAGCAAAATTCGTGGAAGTTGAGGTTTGAACAATTCAGTGGTGACATCTCTGATTGCAGCACTGAGCGAAACGGGTTTAATTTCCTGAGTGGACACCAGTTTCCTTGAGGTTACAAATACACCTTGCTGAGGAGTGCGAACTAGTACTAGTACGAAACATAGGCTGAGTAGGACTTTCCACCAATTTTTTCCACTCACCTAATACCAATCAAAATACACTGTAGTAGTGAGTTTTCAGGCTTGTTGACCACAATGCAAAATAATCGAAAGAGTCCGATCAACAGTAGTAACAAGTTAGACAACATGAAATTGTTTACTCTTTGGTGGCTAGTCACTGAATACCTGAAGTTCCACTCTTTATTGACTTGCAGCTAGAATGTATGCCTTCTAATGACATTGAAGATCACGCTATATAAGGTCTAGATGTTGCTATAAAGTCTGCAAGTGTTACTGAAATGTAACTCACTGCCTCATTGGTAAGGAGATTCTCCAAGTGTCTCAATACACTACACTCAGTTAATGTTAAAGTTAAAAGCAATCACCGCTTTTAGAAATTTTATACATAAAGGAATATCTGCCCAGTGCTATTTATATGCAGTTATTTCCCTTCTGGTGATATCACCTAATGAAAAAATACTGTCTTCATCGAAGGATAACAGTTTACACAACATCCATTTTACTTCCTTGATATAGTTGTGGCTTGACGAGTTGAGTTAGAAATGCAGAAAAATCATCTTCCTGATCATTTACTACTCAGCAAACAATTACTATATTTGGCCAACTCCATCCAGTCAATCATATTTCTCATAGTTCAGGGACAACATCTCTAACTGAAGCATTGGGAGGCATGACCTTAGTTCACAGAAGGAACAACAGTTTTCGATATTTATAAAGGAGAATATTTTAATCGTGCATTTGCCTTAATTGTGAAATACGAAAACCTTCAAATAAAGATTCCATTCCACTACTAATATTTCATTTGGGTCTAGGTTGAAAAGAGAAAGTAGGTGTATGTATCTTACTTTGAACTTGATGTTTATTTCATAAAAGAAATTGAACTAACAATGTTTAATCGAATGTCTTATGTTGTTTGCGAACTCTAGTTTGCATTAAATCCAGGTACCATTTATCACACCTGCTAAAATAACTGAAGTTATCAGTAAAAAGATACCTTTTCATTGGCGAGATTTTTTATTATTTTACATATTTCTCTATTTCTTGAACTTGAAGAAATTATGATTCACAAAGGAAAAGTGTATGGTTTTTTTCTGATTTTGAAGTCATCGGTATGAACGACCAACTATCAATAAGTAACCAGTTTATATTTTGACAAATGAACCTGACCGAGATTGACTCTCAAGGTCAGATACATACGCTAGTTTAAATCTTGGTATGCAACTTGGTGTAACCGACCTGATGGTGGCTACCAGTGGAATCGATATCACGCGTTCCGCTCTAAGACTCATCATCTGCATACACCTTCATCTCAGTGATTGGTGGTGTTCTCATTGCAACTGGAATCAAACACCATCACCAAAGCGTCACCAACTGGGCTAACGGGGTCACAAAAACCTCCTCCTACGGAAGAAGCATCATTTTTGTTTATTGTTGCTTATGATTTCCCGCTGATCATCATATTGGACCGAACTAATCGGTCTCTGTTAACATATGGCTCCTTGAATAAAAACCTCGATAGTAACTGAAGTTCCAATCTGGTTTAATTTGCTTGATGGTGGCTAGTAGTACAGTTCAGGAGGTGTTTCATTCTGTTTATGATGGATAATTTTCACTTCAAGTAGCCAAACGATCGATAAACTTACCTTTTGTTTCAAAGTCGTTGTGAGTTAGAATAATCTGATTGACTTAAAATTAACAGGCATTTGCAGTTATCCAACATCAGTGTACTTTTATTGTTCGAATGTAACTAATCTTGAATTTTCTTCTTAACTGTTAGTAAAAATCGCTGCTTTCCACTTTTTTACAGCATTAGAAAATCTTGTCAAATTTATTGATCATTTTCACCAACAAATAACAATAGATGCAATGTCAACTGGATTAATACAAATTTTTATTATCATACAATTAATGAATTTAACTCTGTGTGGTTGTCATTTGATCCCAATTCGAATGAAGGTTATCTTAGACCAGTTTACTGAACTCTGCCTGACAAAATATCAATTTGAGCAAATGTTGCATATTTTTGGCTGGTCGTTAACAGATTATACACGTGGTTATATGATGATGAATGTAAGTGAAAACGTAGTATTATTTGGAAAGGAAATGTCTATGGAGAGAACTATGTTGTTACATGTAGATACTATAGTAGGTGGACGGAACTAAAATGATGTTTCTTCTTCACTGACACTGTTGTATAACTGTGGTGAAAGATTTCCAGCAGGGTGAAAGACTGAAGATGTTCCGTTTGGCCACATATGAGTGAAATTACGTTAACTTGAGACACCTTATAATCCTCTCAAGAAATAACTATTAGCCCAAACGAATTTTCATTTTCAAGAGTTCTTTTCTTGAAGAAACCCAAAATCCTTTAAATCCTTCGAATTCCACCAACACACACTAAAATTTCCAGAAAAGAACATCTGTTCATATTTGCTGATATCACATTGGTTGACTAGAAAAAATCAGTAGGGGACACGCTTCGAGGAAGGTCAGGAAATAATCTAAGCCATTGCAATTATATAAATATTACACTTTCTGCGAACAGTTAAACTAACAGCATATCTGTTGTCTTACTACCTTTTAGCATTCCAAGAAATTAACCGTCTATCAATAGGGAAAGTTGACAGCTACTGTATCAATTGTTGCAAGCGTATCTCACTATTTCATGTTTTATCAAGAAGGGATGATGAAACGAACAACTCAATGTAAGAATGTTGTGTGATATAATAAGACTACTTTTTCAACAGATAATAGACAACCAGCAGAAAATCATTGAAATTGTCAAAGGGAATCTGGTAATACATTTTGAATCTGATTTGAAGGCTAGTAACTCAGTTTTCGAAGCATCTCACAATGAATGTTTGTTTCATAAGTTGCCTAGTCGATTTGACAGCGATAAAATGTTACAATGGAGTAAATTTAGTTTAGAATATTACATTCATGACTGATTTAAGTTAACCCATGAAACTCTAGTCTGAAGTTGTGATAAGACTTTCGAGTTCAGAAAATTTCTTTTTCTTCAGCACACCAACAGTTCAATTCAAATGTCTTAATTTCACAGAAATCTGTCCCCGGAATCCCCAAGAAAAGAGAGCTTATAAAAATAAGAAAATATGTCAGCTGGAGCCAAAAACATCACTATGTCTATTCGGGCCTACACAGTCTAAGTAACTGAGTACGCATTCTAATTAGAGAAGGAGAAGAGAAACATATGAAACCATTCATTCAACTAAATTGCATTCATTATATACTCTTCAGTTACCCACATCTCGAAACTATTTCATGTATTTAGTATGTATCAAATGAAGGATTCCGGGATGTGTAACCATGATGAGACATTCAGCTGTCCGCGAAGAGATTTTTCAGAATTATAACTGTGTAGCAGTTATAATAAGAAGACTTTTATCTTAGATAACATCTGAGAAAGAGTTTGAGAATGTTTCACTACTGCATTAGAACACTGAGGTCAGGTGAGAACTGATGTTATATTTGAGTTTTTGAAATGAATAATACCATCTTGTTTCGGCCAAATCGACTGAAGCTGAATTCTGAGTCTGTAATTAAGTAGTACAAATCGGCCAGCTTCCAACCACTGACACACCTTGCTAGTTTTTGAACGGTGAAAAAGAAACCACAGTTTGAGTAGAATTAAAATGAATCCGTTTTATTTCATTGAGATTCCTCCATCTGTTTACTACTTAGAATAGAAAATTTTAAAAATTAGAGTGGAAAATTATCTCTCTTTAATTCATCGCAGACAATTCCATTCAAGTGGCTGAAACAAGTCATAAATAGTGTAGGAAGAAACCATGATAACAAACCTGATAACATTTAAGGAAGCCCATTAAACGAAGTCTCATGGTTATCTGTATTACACAATGGTAGATACTTAAATGGTAAATAGAGTAACAATAAAAATGTATCGTCTAATTCAGAATACAAGATTATGTAGACTACTGTATGTATAGATAAGAACTAAAGCACATAAAATGTGCTTTAAGCACAGTTAACTCAGTCAAGATCATTTTTAAGCATTCAGCATCCAATAAAATTTGATTTTACTAAACAAAAATGGAAGATACACTTTAGGTTATCAAGGTAGAGTGAAACTAGTTTTCGGTTTTCTTTTGAACATATGCGTATTGGGCATCGAATTTGAATACAGCCTAGAGAGATTTAATCCATTTTCTTTGTTTATCCGTAAGATGATGAAAGAATGCACCCCTGAAGTTGTTCCTTCTTCTTAGCTGTAAGCCTTTTAAAACGTCTTCAAAAAATCTAGGATAAACCCTTTTTCTTGTTCCTAAAGTGTTTCTGTTTTAGCAGTTGAAAGCCAAATGCGAAGGGCATCTGTTAAATTTTGACTTCAGTAGTGAACATGAAATCAACTTAGTTGCAGGAAAATTTATTATGAATCTTTGCGTGAATCTTCTGTAGAAAATCACTCCCTTTATATATAAATCAGATTAATATAAGCTTTCTGTCAACTGTACATTCCTTGTGTCATGGCTCTCAGCTCTTCCATATTTGTTGGTTAGAAACTCGTTCTGTGATTCATTTCTTGGGTGAATTTTGCCACTAACTACATAGAAACTACTAAAATTTAGATGCAATCCATTTCCAACGATCTTCCCACAAAAATATTGTCAGTGAACCTGCATCGACGAAGAACAGCGATTGGAGCCGAATAATATGGTATCATCTTATTTCCCCAGCTTCTCATCAGCTGCTTACAGTCTAAATATCAAGAATCGTAATAGTGTAATGAGAAATAAAAACATCCAACTCAGTTAATAAGCCAGTTATGCTTCCGGATTTAATAGACTTCTAAAAAATATGAAAAGTGACAGTGTCTTCGTATTATAAAGAAAATCTACACAATTCGATTAACAGATAGATTATTTGGTGATGAGTAACCGACAAATTCAGTTAGTAAAACTAATCATTAGTATTTTGTACAAACAGGAAAATGTTAAGTCAAAAGATGCCATCAAATACGAGAAATAGTGAAAAAATAAGTTACGAGATCAAAGAAAGACTGGTCACTATTTATTCGATACAGCCTCAGCAAATATTCGAAGTCTCGAACCTCTCTGTATGTTCATTACCTTGAAGAATTTTAGGTTATCTGCTTCATCCCTCATTTCAACAGAATGTCAAGTGACTTCACTACTGAAGGCACTGGTTCCTCTGGAAACTGGGCATTTCGGTACATATATAAAGAGTCCAGTGTGTCCCCTTTATCTGCTGTCCCAGTAAAACCGCTACCGCAGATGCCATCAGATTTCCCACCTACGTTAATCAGAATGAATTATATTACATTCTTCAGCTGCAAACATTTATACGCCGGTGGGTTATTCTTCGCAGTCACAATAAGCTGCATTGATTACTTTGAAATTCCCAATCATAAAGCATGCTTAAGAAACGCTTTAGGCAGGATATTCACATTCTCTGGTATAAAATAACATCTAGGCACGTTTTGTTTTCATTTATTTTCGTAAATAGAGATTTTCGGCTTTCTGTAACTGACGTAGACGTAACTACTAGTTCATTTTCTAAGTTTTTATTCCAATTTTATAGAATTTCACAAAGCCAGTGTGGAATACGTGCACACTTGATGAAGAATATGCAATTTTGAAACAAATTAAACGTTTGCCTAGATTCACCTCACTTGCAGATGACTTATTGAAAACTATGCGGGATGACTTCAATCAAAAGGTGAATATGACCAAACACTCTGATATCGTAGATGGTGATGATGATGATGACAAAGACGAATGTAGTGGGCCTTTAGTGTCTTCTACATCATCAGTAAATAATGATTACGTAGGCTCAGAATTGCTGTATCCAAAATTATTAATTCTTGGAAAATCTTTAATTTGCAAAGCGTCTGGATCTACTGAATCGTGTAATTCTTCATTGTTTAAAAATCAAACATCAGTCAACTCATCATCTCTCAATACACTGAAAGATCAAATCGTGTCAAATGTTGCCAGTTTTGATGAACCCACTTATTATACTCTGTTATCAACAATTGTAAATATTGGCTGGGATGAATTTTCACCAACAGTCAACATCATTCCTACTACAAATTCGGATACGGCCACTAGTTTCAACAGTGAAAACCATCACCATCATTATGAGGCTAAACGATCGGATACACTAAGTACAGAAAATATGCGAACTGATTCAAGCTATCAGCTTTTAAATAACTCAGAAAATATTTATCAGTCTCCTTTGCTGAAAAACGAGAAACAGACAATGAAACCAGCTAACCAATCGAATAACAGTAGGTCTAAACGGGTAGTGAAATGTAAAAATTTCACTCCTGGACATGAAGTAAATGATTTCAACAAAAAAGCAGGTAAAGTATTACCTAATTTTTTCTAATTGTCTGTCATTTGTCAAATTGTCTGTTGTTCACCATTTTGTTCCTGTAGAAAACAACGTGTGTTAAAATTTTCCGAAAAGATTTGAGGACTAACAGAATAATAAACAGGTCAGTAGTCATTGATAACTACGTTTATAATGAAGGTGTAGAAGTTGGAATGGGGGACTGTGACTTATGCATTTAGTGAAATCAAGAATGAAGTTAGATACCCATCACTGTTAGCAGATCACGAGCGTGCTGTTGTATTCCAACGAACTTCTGACCAGGCTGTTGAATTTCAGGTTATCCTTCGAAGGATTTGAAGTCTTTAGACTCGTTATCGTTCCTTGATAAAGCTAAATATTGTGGTGGAACTAAAGAATTCTGTCACCAATAAAACTAACAATTACAGTTAAGTAGGCTATTTCCTACTATTTTGGGGTCCGAGGTTTCTAAACATTTATGAATATTCATTATGAGTTAAGTAAAATTCACTGAAATTGTAATTTTTAAAATTAATACGGGATGCTATCTTCATTTTGACTAAATGCTGAAGTTTACAAACTTAGAATTAGAGTCATGGTTTTATGTTATAGTAAGCACACCCTAAATTGAGCTGCTGATTTCTGATTTCTTCGACGTCGGGACAATACCAACACTTGAAGAAATATACATGGTTTGCAAATAGCCTAAAATGATCAAATGAAACGTAAACTTTTGCATTTTTATCAAATATTTCCGTAAATGTTATCAATTTTTGGCTTGAAAATGCGATCACTGCCTCACAGTCACTGAATGAAAACACTCAAGCATGGTGGAATTCTTTATTTCCACCCGTACCGTTAAGTAGTAGAATTAGTAAAAAGAAACGATCTAGTAGTTCTTCGCTTTTCATTATGCTTCAATTAATTTTTATTACCCATACAAAGTACCAGCAAATATTCATCAATGTTTAAACCTCAGTAGTGTTATTAATATCCTTAAGCTTGGTTGGTAATAGTCCTTGTTAATAGATACGAACAGGCCAGACGCACAAGTCTAATAACATTTTTTTTAATACAGAAAGCAGGTCTCTGACGACAGAGTTACTTTCTCTGCATAGGTATAGATATCTTATCATCCCATATACCAGGTGGGTCATCCGTGACCAAACCTGTGAGCACCGTGAAGAAACCTGCCTCCGATACTGTTTTTATTCAGTAATTGAAAACTCGGCAAAAGATAAACTTTTAGAGTAGTGAAAACTTTATTCGTTACAAAATAGTATCTGTTCAAAGGTAAAGAAATGCCGGTGATTATTCGTTCTATTTTTATATATATTGTGGAAGAGCGCACTGTTGAACTGTTTTATGGTTAGCAGCACAACTTCCATTTCTTGGTAAAAAGTTAAAAGTCAGTCAGTAAAAGAACTTCAGTCTGCATGTTTTATGGTGAACGTATTACCGCCGCGTTGTTGGCTTCATATTCATCAAGTGGCATTCTGTAGATTCCTGGAAGTAGTTTCACTACGTTTAAGCTGTTGAGGTTTCAAAACAGGAAAACCTTTTGAGTTCCATCAGATCCAGTTACTCTGAATTTATTTATATTACGTTTACTTTGAATGCAGTCAGACAAGAATTCACCTGGTATAACTGTTATAGATACATTTCTTATTTGATTTAAGATGGTTAGAAGTAACTGGAAAGCAGCCCTACTCCACCTACTTTTCGTGTCTCTTGGCATCTGTAAGAAAGGCATATCTTCAACCTCAAGGTACTAATCTCATCCCAGAGACTTGAACTCAAGTCACTCAGTGCTGGAGACACAGATGTTACCAGTGAGCTACCTGAGCTGCGATCGACGTCTGGTAAGACTAGATTAGATACATTAATTGGTCACTGGACGGTAAGCAAGTTCATGCTGTCTAGTCCTCAGTACTGGCCGAATTCTGTCGAACATTTTGTAATGTGGTCAACAATCTAGGAGACTCAGTATCACAGTATCCTCTGACTGATATTAGAAAGTTGGAGACAATCGGTGGGAAGTCCTGCTGGACCTGATTTCATGCTTGTTGGCCCTCATCGGCAAGAATTATCTGCAACCTGGATGGAATTGATGCACCCTCAGAGATTCGAAACCACGATACTCACTGCTGATTCCAAAGACTTCATCACCTAGATGATTACACCAAAACGTCTAAATTCAGCACTGAGTGCAGTGATTTCGAATCTCTGAGGGGACATCAGTTCTCTTCGGGTTGAAGAAACCTTTTCCCTAATAGTGCCAACAAGTAGGAAACCTCGGCTGAGAATGACATTTTATCGATTATCTCCAACTATCTAACGTCACTCAAAGTGCATCACAGTGGTGTTTCCAAGCTCGATGATCACAACGAGAGATGATCGACAGAATCCGACCAACAGTAAAGACTAGTTAGACAACGTGAAATTGATTACTCCTTCGTAACTAACCAAAGCACTTTTTATTTGTTAGTTAGGTAAATATACTCGAACCTTATGTCGAAAACAGATTCAGTAACTGGGCTTATCTTCATTTATCGTGATTCTTGATGGAAATTCTCATAGACCAAAAAAGACATTATTGAGGGCCCGTGGATTCTGGGTGCTACTACTAAAACAGATAAGGTCGATCTAGTTGAAATCCACATCAACCATATGTAGATTAATTCTGACTAGGTGTCTTAGTTTAGTTCCCGAAAGTTTACAGAAATTTACAGAAATCTCTTACAGTTTGGTAGAGTGAAACAACTGATAGACCTGCTCTAAAATAGATAAAGTTTCTTAAATACAAAGCAGTTTTTATCGTAGAGTGACATCATTTGGCGGACCGCTGGTAAAGTGGGATTATTGAATAGCTGTTCTATCCTGGTTTCAGACTCCTCAAGAGTTCATATCCATGACTGCGCCAGGGATTCGACCCTGGGATTTCTCTGTGAACTTGCCCTCATTCAATCACTAGGTTGAAATCAGATGGTCCACATCTTCCTAATTTTGTCAGCTTATAATATATCAGGGCCATCATCCAATGTCATCTTAATTAAACGATACAGCATGGTCTTGGTTACTAGAGTGACCTTCATATCCACGAAGTTGACGACTTAGTTGTGCTTTTATTATTTTCCTCACTAAGGGAAAAAGATTAGTTTTGCGATTAGTTAGGGCGTCCATTTCATCCTTTCAAATAACTGATTGTAGGGACAAGCAATTTGAAGCTAGTTTTTGGTTCTGATAAATTAGCTCTACTTGAAAATAATAAATCAGTGAAATATTATTCAATCCGAGTTTGAAATTTCAGAATACTTTACAAGTAAGGACTTCGTCGATATCTAGTCGGTGGTGAAGCCTAAAGTTACTAAATTTTTCTTCAAAAGAATTAAACAGCGTCCATTACTGAAAAGTCACAAGTTAGAGTGAGACAAATTTTACTTCTATCTGTGAATTATATGGTTGATCAGGTAATAATGGCTTCTTGCTCGATTGTGGTCAGAAATAGAACTCAACATGCACATTTTGTCATATTTAGAACTCATCAGTTGTATTTATTTACATTCCAGAGACCAACATTCTTCCCACTGACACTCAAACTTAGAAACAATTGCTATGAACGTCAGAGAAGCTGCTGAGTCACTTCTAGTAAAAGGGGTATCAGTTATTATTTACCTAAAATTTCTTGTTGATTTTTGTACTGAGAGAAGCTGATCAGTCTCTGATGGAATATGGACTCCATTAGTTGATCCTTCGATATTGCCATACGTTGCATTATGATGTCGCTTGCCTGATGATGGTTAACAGTGGAATCCAGGATGCGCATTTTTTCTTATTCAGGCCACATTAGCTGTCAACAACTTCTAGGACAAAACACCAAAATCCCAGGAATAAAATTGATTTTCTCAGTTTTCATCTTATCGGAGACTTCATATGGCTCCTAATTTGATTGTAACTTACTCAATCGGTTCAAAATTCACAACAAACTATCAAGTTATACTGATTACGATAATGTTAAAACATCTAACAACTCCATACTGCTCAAGTATGGGGTGGAATATATTTTGCAGACAGCAGCTATTAGGGAGTAAGTTCAATTTTCTATGGAACCTTTTCCAGAAAGATGCACCTGTATGCCTATCACTATTCTGACTGTAGCTCTAATCACGCAATGCCTCATTAAATATCAAAGCGCTACCCATCATTCTAGACATCCCCAAATAATAACAGTAAGCTTGAAAAGTAAAGTAGAAATTGATTTTCTTCATGTTAATATGTTGTTCTTTTTAGGAGTTTTATTAGAACATAGGAATTTAAGTCATGTCGCATATTCATATGGAAAGACTGAAAATCCATCAGCTCAAAGAGATATACAACATCTACCACTTCCAATTGTTGAACAAATCACTGATTTTTCAGCAGAAAACTCTTTTAATCAACTTACAACAAATCAGACTTCAAAAAAAAGAGTTACTCCTGAACAACGAAATAAAAAACGTGTTGCATGTCCAAGTTGTAGAAAGACATTTTGTGATAAGGGTAAGTTCTATTTTTCATTTACTTGACTGTTTAATATTCTAGTACTAATGCCGATATGTTGTATTGGGCTCACTGCAATTATTAAGCAGCTTACAGGGTATTTATAATGTACACAGTCAATTTTTTCGCATATCTCGTAGGTGAGTCAACTGAAGACCAAAACCTTCATAAAACTACAGATGGTTTTTAATTACTGAATTTGTTCGGTATCATACCCTAAGTCTGTAAATAACCAATCAAAAAATTGACTTTCTCAACTGACATTAATGTGACTCGCTGACTGGAATGGTGTGAAATGAAAACTAGAATGTATTTTTCACTTTGTTTCAAACTCAGCGGTTGAGTGTATGTGCATTCCTGTGTATGCCATATGCGGTGATACTGAGATACTTACCCAGCCTTTTTCGCTTTATACATGATATAAAGCATAAGGGCATTAATTTGCACTAACCATTGATTATATCAGAGGTATTCAATCATGAGTGAAACTTGTAAATATCCCTTTGTTTGATTCCTCAAGTTTTCCATCACAGTATGCAGTTTTCATCAGAATATCAGGGGAACATATTCACCTAACTAGGATATATGACCATTGGCAATGAGACAGAAGAATAAAATATGGCGGCTGGTTCAAATACTGAGGAATTAATTCAACGGACATAAACAGAATCACCGATAATTTTCGTCTAGTAAATCTGCATAGTAATAATGACGAGCGCATTGATTGGTCACTGGGGAGCAACCAATTTCATGTTGTCTGTTCCTAAGTGTTGATCTGGTTCTGTCGATCATTTTGCATTGGGGCCACCACGCTACAGAGCTCACCACCGTGGTTAACTTTGATGGATGTTAGTTGGTTGGAGGTGATCGGCAGGAAGTCCTGGAACTAGGTTTCACGCTTGTTGGCAAGTTGACGATAAATTCTGTTGATAAGTCAGGAAAGAAAATCTGCAAGTAATCAGCTTTACTGCTTATAAGGAATAAGTACTGCCGAATTCCCACATATAAAAGTACTGCATACTTTTCTGTTCCGTAGTCTCAAAATTCATAGCTGAATCTTAACTCCATTCCTTCCGATTTTATATGTAAAAGTTATATTTTTAGAATCAGCTTACAATTATCTCTCATGCTTACTGACAGACTGAGCAATCTAGAGGGAAATTACTCAACCGTAACGCTAGTTGACAGGATATGACATACTGGAAGTTTCAACTACTTACTCACTACTTCTTGAAGGTATTAGAGAGTGCATACATGTATCATGCAGAATACATTTGAGAAACTTTGCAATCTGTATTAAACTACTTGTAAAGTTATCAGTAGCAGCTTGTTATAAATATATTTGGAAAGAAAATTTACGTACAATGATGTCATTTGTCCGTAGTAATTGTCTCCGAAATAAAACTAAACAGAGGTAAAAAAAGCTTCATTATATTTGTATTTATACAGGTGCGCTTAAAATTCACTACAGTGCAGTTCACTTGAAAGAAATGCATAAATGTACTATAAATGGATGTAATATGTGGTTCAGTTCACGAAGAAGTCGTAATCGTCATTCAACTAATCCAAATCCACGTTTGCATATGTTACATGCTGATAAAACTGTATATAATGAAGATTGTAGTAATTCAACAAAGTGATTAGGTAAGTCTTTGTGTTCTATAACAAAAAAGTCTGACATATACTATTCATCATCAATTTGCCTTCAGGGATACATCAGTACTGGTCAAGTAACTATCAAAAGATAAATAAGGATGAAAAAGGCATATTTATGAAGTTATGGAAATTTTCATCAATTTTCAGTACTGATTGCTATCTGCACATATTTAATAAACTTTCTAATTGAAAATAACTCAGTAAAATATTTCGGGGTTTGTTTTTAAAAATATGCATAAAAATGTACTGGTTCCTATTAACATAAATGCTTGGTTGTGGCTAGCAGAGGAATGCAAAACTCACGTCTCGTTCTATTTGAGACTCTCCAGTTGGATGTATCTGCACCCCAGCGAGTGATGGTGTTCCCAATGGGACTCAGACATAGTATCTATCTCTTTAAGCGTCAAAGGGTTATCCACTAGGACACTGAGGCGCGATAGCCACTCGTTATACAACCAGTATTAGTTATAATTATTTTCTGATATATTTGTAATTCTCGGTTGTTATACTGAGTCAAACTGTTATACTACGGTTCGCATACGAGTGCCAAAAACGACGAAACGCTCTTCCCGAATTCCTCTGCTAGCCACAACCAATTAAATTACAATAATAAATATTCAGGCAATATGGAAGCAACTGTATGAGAACCCATATGCAAACAGAGGTGGAACAATTTGATCCAGTATATCGACGGAGAATTACAAGTATAATTACAAATATTTATTCATTTTTATTGTTTATACTGTGATTTCCAAATGCTTACTTTCTTCTACTTACATTCTTGACCTCTTTAGTAAAGTTGACTAAGCCCCAGGGACACTTATTCTAGTAATAAAAAGCCACCTTTGGCTGGATTGCAATAAGATCAAGCTGATGTGTACCTACTAGGTTGAAACGTGCATTCCAAACTCCCCTGCTAGTGATTACCAAGACAAAAAGTGTCAACGTATAAGTATATGAATATATCAACATAGACTTACCTATGCAGTCCAGCAAAGGAACAGTTAGCGCAGTAAGACAGTCCACTTCCCTTGGATTGATCATTGTTTCAAATCGGAAAGTAATAAAATGAACCCAAACCTTTTCATTTCTTCATTCAAAATGTTCAGCAAGCCTTTTATTTATCGGTGACCTTGCTTCTGCATCCCGTAGATGGTCAAGAATCTCGTAGGTCAAAAGTCATAGGTGTTCGCCTACACCGCTAAATCTGTATTTGTAAAACGTTAATCACAAGTAACGCAAATAGAAATTCATGACGGATATAGTTGGTCGTTGAAAATTCACGTGGTAATCCCAGATAAGTATTACCAAAAATTTAAGAGTTTGGATAAACAGACTTTAGTAACACAATTAACTTATCATACAAGTACACCAATAACGAATTGTTGTCGAATCTGCCTGTACTCCATTTTATTTCCATCCCTGGCTACATTTCGGTCTTTCACAGATTCAACATATACTAATTAATAACATTCAGTAGTAAAACCATGTTTACTTCACATTACCTGCACCACTGGGTATAAAGTTTAGCTGTATTACATTTTGTTGAACATGTACTCATTCCACTGTAGTAAATTTTCTTGTTATTTCATGATTTGTTCTTCCTGAAGCAAGCCAGCCAATCAGCGTGTTCTGGTCTTACTTTGAATCCAGAGCATTTTTTAGCCTATCCAGGATGATGTGGCTTAATATTTTACTTGGGTGGACAGGACCATGATTCCTCGCCAGTTCTTGCAAAGACTTAGGTAGCCCACCCTACTTTGGGAGTTTGACAAGGTAGCCATTCTTCCAATCAGTAGGTAGGTACCTTCCCTTCCTTCCAAACCTTCTGCAACAGTAAAGTGAGCATGCCCATTGTTGTCTCTGCGTCTGTTTTCAGTGCTTCTGGGGGGATTCCATCTAGTCCTGCTGCTTCCTGGATTTCAGTAACTTTATGGCGTTCGGGGCTTTACTTCGGCTTTTGTCGGACGGCTTGTGTTCACTGACAGCTCTTCGGTTGCTGATAATATTTCTCGAAGGGTTGCAGCTTGTGGTGGTCGATTCATGAGTTTCTCGAAGTGATCAGCCCATTGTTTTCTTTGCTTCTCCTCATTGTTCGTAACTACATTTCCTTCATCATCTTTCATTGGTTTCTTTTGTGCCGATCTCTTTCCAGATAGTAACCTGGTTATTTGAAACAGTGTTGTCAGTCCTCTCCTACCAATAACCCGTTATGCTTCACTTGCCAATGTGTCGTAGAAGTGTCTTTTGTCTTTGCGCGCTCTCTTCTTCACTTCTTTGTCTAGTGCAGTGTTTTATAGGATGTACTCAGTTCCTTTTTTCCTTGTTCATCCCCACACTGCACTGGTTCATCTTCCGCTTCACAATCACCATCTTCCTCTCCCTTCTCTATCAGCTTCCATGTGTCCGTCAACATCCATTCCTTGTCTTGCTTCTTCTTCCCTCCTTACACAATTATGCAGGTTTCCTTCCACATTGCTTCCAAAGAGTTCCAGTGTTCTTCCACTCCCGGTCCTTCAGGGATGCTGCTCAATATCTCCCATTTTGTCCTGATAGCTGACTGACTGACTGACTGATTGACATGAAGATGTCCTTTGTAGTTTCCTCCTTCAGTTCAGTTACTGTTCTGAGTGTTGAACTTCAACTGTGGTCTATCAACAACTTCCTTGAATGGAAGGCTTTCAGCTTGATTTTGAAGGCAGGTTCCTTACACTAGATAGTGATTGGTGTGAACCACCTACATCTACTCCCCCTCCTGATCTGATCTTGTGTCCAGTAGGCTGCATCTCCATTTCCACTTTCTTCACATTGAGATGAAGTCGATCTGAATTTTAGTCTAGTGTGTCTGGTATCTGGTGAAATCCGTGTCACTCGCATTGTGAATATCCTTGTGTTTGTTTGTACACACTGCCTGCCTCCAATCACCAAATCGTTGAATGCGCAGAAGTCTCCAAACAGTTCTCCATTCTCGTTCTTCATTTCACCGAGTGCCTCTCGACCCATGATCACTTCTCTTCCTGTGTTGTATGCTCCTCTCAGTTTGGCATTCATGTCACTCCATCCATTGGAATTTTGATATCGTCAACTGGAGTGGGGTCTTGTCCATTACTGATTGCAGTTGTCTGTAGAATTCCTCCTTCTTCTCTTCATCTGCGTCTGCATTATTTGCAGGTGCATGGCGTAGCATTGTATGATTGTGACTTTGGTTCCTTTTGAGATGAATCTTGCTGTCATGATCGTGATCTTGCAGGAGGTGACTGGTTCCCACTGCATGAGAGAGAGAGAGAGAGTGAGAGAGAGAGCTTTCGATGCTCTTCAAGGGGAAATCATGATAGTCACTCCGAAACTCGGTATGCCCATGGTTGTTGTGTGGGTGACAATATCGGAGTAGATAACTGACTCTCCTCTCCAGTTGACAGTTTGGAGAGTCCACTTCCATTCCATCTGCAGACTCCTCTCAGATTCCTATCACTCCTATGCCACACATTCTCATCTCTTTTGCAATCTGGGCAGCCTTGCCAGCCAGCCAGCCAGCCAGCTTCGAACATTGTTAGGACATTCCATGTCGCCATGTTTACTTTCGCTTTCATTGAGTGAGAGAAAAGAAATCAGCCAATTGGCTCCTCGAATGCTTTCACCAACTGGTGTCATTTTGCCTCTGTGATTCCAGTGAGGAATAAGTTTGGTTTTATTATTGATATTTTGTTTGTGCTTTGAAGTTTGTTTAGTGATTGGGTTAGTTTTGGTGGGGTAGGGTTGCCGGCTGTGTGCCCAACCTTCCTTATTTATGTGGGTTTAGGACCGGCTAGTAACTAGTGAACTAGTTAACGGGGTTGGATCTTTAATAAGCTTAATTTTTTGCCTATTATTACTCAACTCAGATGCCTTCTTCATTTTGTTGGCTTTCGCCATCTGCCACTGCTCGCATTTGACTCGTTGACTTTTGGTCAGTTTACGTCTAGGTTGCCTTCGCTCTTCATCGTCGTCAGAGTAAACTGGAATTAGCCTTCCGGTATCAGTAAGTTTGGATGACGTTGCGGAAACTGAATAACGTTTGTTTGTCTTCGGGTGTAGATTACTAACTGTCTCTACCCCTGTTTTTATTCCAAACTTAATATCACGCCAGGTTTCCTCAGCATGAGCATTGCTGTCACGTTCAGATAAATGTTTGGCTAACTCCTCTTAAAATGTATACTTGGCGTCTTCACCTACCAATCGACCACAAAGGGGATTGACTGTTCCATGTTTCCTGAGGCCATGAAGGGTCGGAATTACATGAGCCCGTACTAGCGCGTGATCTGGGTCCTTAGCGGTACTCCGGAAACAGCAGCAGTTCTCCACCGGTCCTCTCCAACGATGGTTTATAGCAATGTGATGTGCCTGTGTTCATCGCTAGTTTGATTTTAGTGTACGCTATATGCGACAGTGTCTATCCTAATGCCTCAAGTTAATGCTGACCAGAAACAAGCAATTTTTGGAAAAAAATTACAGCAGACGATCACCGTTGTTGGTTCGTTGGTACAGGATTCCTTAAATACCCGTAGATCCCTTTCGGACTGATTCAGCTTATCTACTTGAGCGTCAACGTCACCTGTCATTATCACTACATCTGAACGTTTCGTTTTTGTAGCAAAAGTAACAGTTTCTCAAACAATTCATCGTTTGCATCATCCCAGCTACAGCCGGTGTGTGCGTAGGCCGAGAATACGTACAGGCCTCGGTCGGTCTCATGATCTTTCCTGGTTCTTACAGTTCCATTCAGTCAACCAGCACATAAGTGGCTATTTGATAGTTTCCAGTTGATGAGTACGCTTTCTGCTCTACAACTCAATGTTATCGCTACATCAGTAATTTCACGGTAACTAGCCATTGTGTCTCCGAATACTCTTAAGGTGAATTTTGAAGATTCATTTCTATGACCAGCTGATGTCAATTTAATGATCACACTTGGGTTCTGTAAACATGTCTCAAAGCCACAGCTTACACTCACAGCTCGAGATACCAAGGTTTTGGAAAGCGATGCCTGCTGCCTAATTCGATATAGAGTTCGGACACTGAGACCTCCTAAATTAAATCAATGGTGGGTTCTTAGGAGACTACACGTGAGGCTTCGGTGGCTGTGATCGTTAACAATGGTTGCAGAGTGAGAGGTTGGCCTGGGAGTAAGAGGCTCAATACTAGTATCAGGAGTTAAAGGCAGATAAGTAAACGACTGACGGGGATAAGTTATGTTTGATTAGGCCTTATGTGTTAACACAAGGCCTAGTCTATTGGAGGTGTGCGGGCCGCTGACACTTTCCGGCTACCCACATCGTGGAAGGCTATATTTTCCTCAGGTCCTTGAAAGAGAAAAAGACTTGTGTGACCGTAGAGCGCATAAGACATCTGCTTGAGGCCTGTCATACTCAGTCTTTTGTGAAGTGTTGTTCTGAGGTTTATTTATTGCAGCACTGGGCAAACACAGTCCATATCTTCGGCATCCGAAAACCATGAGGCAGGTTGGAGTGTGTTATTTTGGGAGTTGATCTTTCCTAACCACCCAGTTTCGTTTTTAGAAGGCAACATCAGCGTGGCACTGCTGGTCATTTAAGTGAAACAGCTTTATGTTGTCCCACCCTATCCAGCTCCCAGCAGTACGAACTCCCTCTAAGATCTCAATCATACTGTAGCAGTTTATGCTACAACGGTAACTGCTTTCCGTCTCACCACTATCCAGCAGACCTTTCTGACATGGTAGAACCTCACGAAAACAAGCCTTCCACTAGCATAGTTTGCTGGGTCATTGTAATGTGCAGACCTTACCACCACGTCAGGGTAGCAGCTATTTGTTGGGGAGCTGAAGTCTGTAATCTTGTAGCTCATTACTGTTTATTTTTTAATGCTGTACCATATTCTGGACATATAATATATTTTGACTAGGTAGCTTTTGTGTAACTTGAGTGTTTATTATTGGACTACCGAAGTTTTGTTTTATTGTTTGATCTTGAATTCCCTATATTTCTAAAACTTCACGCCATTACCAAAATTAAACGTGAAGATTGGTTTCATTACCATTTGCTTCTTATTCTCAAACGTAGGAAGCTTATTTCACAGACAGACCCCATGATCTCTTGATACATAACACAGTGAACCATGGTGACTTATCAGTCAGCCTGGTGATCACATCACAATTCTTATCGATAGAATTCAGTCAAAACTTGTTGTAAAGAACGGTACCGGTGAGAAGAGATGGAACTGTTTATTAGGTGACTATATTAAGCGCTGAAAAATTATCCCACTCATGTGTGTAAGTGTATTTGTGCTAATAATATCTGCAATCTACTTCTCAGATTAGATGTTCTTCGATTACGTTCTTTTAGCCACAGGTTTTTGTATTTCCCCCGTACATTCCTTGTCCCTTTCTCTTGGATTTCCACCCACCAAATGTCGATTTCTTTTGCCTTGTCCAATGAAACCGCACTATTTACAACGTGTATGCATAACTGTAAGTAACATACATCACATTATGATTTCATGCTTTAGTGATCACTTTGTTTGATAAAACCACTGGGTTATATAGGCTTCTTAAGTAAGAACTATCATTACATAGTTAAAAATTAACTACCCACTGCTTAGCTCTTTTTACCTCCAGTTATCTCAAGAAACAGCTTTTGGAATGAATAGTTTATTAATTCATTCAAAAATACCTAGATTGGAATGGTTCTCAAAATATTGTGTTTGTCTTTAACTACTCAAGTTGTATTAAAGTAGTTTATCTGAAAAAGCTTTATTTCCATTCTGCGATGTAGGTGCACAGAACATCTGGTGAAACTAATACCTTTCTTCCACAACCTAGCAGTAAAACATTATGTGTTGATGAAGATTCAAAAACGGTGCAGGAACCTCAGAGAACCCTCCACATTGGTACTAAAACACAATGATTTCTAAGCATTTTTTGCTTTCTTGTGGATTCGTTGAAATGTTTAAATTATATGATAATTATGTCAGTAAATACAAACTTCTTGTACACTTTTTTGTGTATCATACTGTCACTTTCATTAGCAGTTAAGCTGTGTGGATAACCCAGTGATACTGTGACGTACACTGTACTCCGCTTCAATGAAAACAGTTCCTTAATGATTTTGTATTTCATTTAATCTTCTGAACAAATACAAAATACAACCGAAAAACATAATGTATATTTTCTTACCTTTTATAGAATTTTGTCGCTTTTGAAACTTATCGGTTGGATAGATAAGTACTTTTACTAGCTTTTCTGTTGAAACTCAAGGTCACTACATAATATTCCGTTGTTTAAATGTTAAGAGTCCATTGGTGGGAAGCCCTAGTCAACCTAAGTTTCCTGTTTGTTGGCACTTATCTGAAAAGTGGATCTAAAACAAGGAAGAAACTAGTGTCTTGTCTGCGATTTTACCCTGTATCACTTATCGCTGAAGTCAGAGACTCAACAAATAATCTACCCAAGTTATGGTTATTTTCCTGTGTACATGAACTGGTTACCAGTGGGTGACCTATGTAGCTGTCTTGTCCTTGGTGTTCAAAGCTGATCGCAGCTTCCCAGTCAATCGTCCGTTTAATCTAGTCCTCAGAAGTATTTTATGGCTTTATGGCTTGGTGGTAAAAGCTGTCGCTTTAGTAATGAGTGGGATTCGTCTGCAGCACCAAGGAAATACCAATTTCCTCATGGTTGCACATGTGTCCTTCTGGTTAGTGCCAAGAGGCACGAAACCGAGATCGGAAACAACTTCTTGCTGACTGACTCTAAACATATTATACCGAAATACAATGTACAACATTGTTACATCAGTTACCTTAATGGCCAAACTGAAGAATCTGTCAATAGTCCCCGACTGATCTTGACCTCTGAAGACTAGACAGCTATACAGGTTACCCACTAGTAATTAATTTATGTACATATTGTTCCATTTTGCCAAAGAGTTATTCACCGGACCACTGACTCCTGATGGAAGCTTGTATTTACCAAAGTTGGCGATTTCCTACTATTGATTTAGAGGACCAAAGTGGATAGTCTGTGTTAGCATATGGCCCTCAACATCCAATTAACGAGTTACATGTATGAAGGAAACGATTTCCTTGTTTCCCACTATTAGTCAAAACCGTAAAATGTCAACAGGAAACATCAAGACGTCCATGTAAAGCGTTGATATTTCAGCATGGCTTAATTCACTCACCTCTTCAGGACTTCGGTTTCAAGCTGCAATTATCCCACCTACCATTCATTAGATTGTGATACTTATAACACGTTTTGCTCCCCGATGATGCTTCGCAGTTCGCAGAAAGTTCTTACCTGATGTATTCTATCACCACTTAGTGATGTCAATCACGACATCAGCATTGTCTGACCCCTGTTTAGATCTTCGTTAGACAAAAACTATTTTTCTTCGAACCGAAGAATGTCTGTAAAACAAGAAACTTATATTCAAGGCTTTCCATTGTATGTATCTAAACATTTGATATCAATCAAAAGGTCCCTTAAATAGTGAGTTGACTGGATGAGTAGTCACATAATCAACTCGTTTGAGAGAATTTAATTATCACAAATAGCTGAATATAAAGAAATTTTTTGTTATTCAACCACTCGTAAGTGTACAATAAATGTTTTCGGCACCGGAACGATTTTTACTGTATACCAGTAAAGAATAATGGCTAACAGTCGAATTCAGGATGCGTATTTCATTTTGTCTGGAATTCATCAACTGGGTCTGCCTAACTCCCAGTGAGTGATGTTGTCTCCGCGTTGGCTCAAATCCACTGACTGTTGCCTTAAAAGCTGAAGTGTCACCCAATAGGCTACTAAGTCACCGTAGTAATTTCTTGTGTGGCGGATACAGTTTGATTTCATGCTTGTAATTTCCTGCCGTTGACTCGTCTAACCTAGCCGGACACTATTAACATATGAATTCTTTCGCTGATGCATTGATGTTGCCAATAACTTTAATTTGACGCTAACTATTAACATTAGCTGGCTTTAAGAGTTGGATTAGGTTGGAAGAGGGTTCATGGTGGCCAGATCAAGACCTGGCACCAGTCCATGAAGTCCCTAACTGTTGGTCTGAGCCATTTGGAGAGATATAGACTCCCTCCTCCAGACGGAAGAAATCAGTGGTTGGAGACTCTTGGTGACATGGCTAGAAATCGGTCACGGTGGCATAAACATATTCACCCCTTGACATCTTCTGGAGCTTGAATATTGGTACTAAATGTTATCTTCAAACTGCTCGTCATGTCAAATAACTTTATCTACTTTGATATCACTCTTTTTCCATCCACCTGTTCTTTGTGAACTACTGTGAAGTGTGGCAACTTGAGCGGATGCACCTGAGTGTAAGGTTCTAGGTTGCTTTTGTCAGTCAGTCATCCACATTTCGTCCTATTTGGTACATCAGGCTCCTGCTCTCTTTTAGAGTTTCACCAATGTAAGTTAACTTTCCAAATATTTACATTCATCTGTTTAACAAGGTCAGTACCAGTGTAAGTTGCCCTATTAATTTTGGCCTAGCAGAGAAATTAAGTAACTATATGCGAAGCTCTAGATTCAAAATTGCTTGATCTATATCTGTTCTAAACAGTACCACTTATTATGCTTACACGTTATAATACAGTTCAAGTAATCAAGCATCATGATACTCAAAATAAAGTTCATTAGTAAATTGCTCCATACATTTATATTGTGTGCTTACGGTTGATTTGATTAAGAAAAAACTAGTTCACACCTACTGGCTTTCCTATTAAAGCTGTCTTATCACAACACAGTTCCAGTCCCTCACGTGGTGTTATCTCTCTTGGAGTTAGGGATATATTATGTTAACCAGCCAGCACAGAATCAAGATCCAAGGCTTCATACTGATGGCTTCCATCTAGCCTGAGTTAAATATAAAGCGCTCTGTGATATTGAAACGCATAGCTTCATTGTTACGGGGATGAATTTCACAAATAGAATAACTAATCACCATCAGAGCTGTCCAAAGCTAGCCAACGAGTCTTCAGTACATATTTACCAATCAAGTGTGACAGAAAATGCTTCATATGAAAGTCTCTGAATATTAATTTCCTAAATCTTACGACTTGTATTGCACAACCATACAGTCTCCAGTAAACCATAAGGAAGGCGAATCAAACAACCAATCACTTTCTGACGGTTCTTCGATGTGAAATTAAAATATTTACAATATAAAATTTTTTCCTAAATATTTACTTATCTTTTCACGGCTTGAAGACTGATTTTTACATTCAGTTCGCTATTCATATTACTCAATATAATATACGATACTATCTAAGACTCAGGTTAATTGTTCTATTTCATTTCTTTGTGTAGTTCAGTTTAAAAATCGTTCATGTTAGCGACGTTTTTACAATGTCTAGTTTCATAGACATTTTGTCTATTTGAAAGATGTTTCTCAGTGATCAGCTGTTTTCCTATGTTACTCCAATGTTTTACACTTAGTTCAGATATTTAGCTCATGAATGGTTTAAATATCATAAAATGCCATTTAATGATTTTCCTTCTCACAAAAACTTCCGGTGATTACAAATGTACTTGTATATTGATTGATCACTGGAGGATAATCAGTGACCAATCAGTATATCTAACCCAGTCCTACACGAGGTCAGTCGTGATCCGAATAGTCCAGCGATAACGTCGTGGTTTCAGATACGCCTGGCTGACGAGTCCCAATGAAGACAAAACTTAGGTCCAGGGCTTCCTGCCCATTACCTTCAACCAAGTAACAAACTGCATATGTCGTTCACTAAAAACACAAACCACTGTTTCACAACTATACTGAGCTAATACTTAGATTGGAGGGTAACTACTGAACCAAGCACCCCTTTAAATACTTGACTTGAGCCCATCACCCTAGAAACAGGCTTACCTACAAAGTTAGAGGGTCACATCTTATCTGTGGTATGCTTGGCGTCATATTTTGGACTCCTATCTTATCTATTCCAGTGCAAAAGAAATTTGGTGAGGTGATTATTGAATTCAACAAATATGCACAGACAGTATGTTGGAAGAAAGGAAAAAATTCCATATTAGATTTGTTTATTTGATATATAGCGCACAGTGATACAGTATTATTTACTTGATTACGTTTCGAGAATAAATTATTGCTCAGTATCATATCAATGTGATATGATTGTGAGCAATAATTTATGCTCGAAAAGTACTCAAGTAAGTAATACTGTATTACTGTGCGCTACATATCAGATAAACAAATCTAATATGGAATTACATTCTACCACAGTGCCCAGTTTTTACATTTATATTAAAGGAAAAAATTATTGACAGAGACGGTAATTGGAAAAAACTACCGACTGGAATTTGCAAATCAGTTTAAAGTTGATAGAGCATTGGCACATATTATGCATTTCTTCCCGAAGAAAGGCTACAGTACACCAGTAATCCAAACAGCCTGATAGGCATACAGAGACTCAACCCCACTTTGACGTAAACTCATTATGCAAATAAGTTGTGGGCGATTAAAAACTGGAAGTATTTGGAATAGGTGAAAGATGACGACATGTCCCACATTATTTACCAACTTTAATGTTCCTACACACACGTGAATACATACACGCACACACATACACACACACACATGAGTTTTGCCGATTACTGAAGATAAGGGCTGTGAAATACATTCCAAACTGGATTCTCGAACAAATACATCCACCGGACTCAAATAACGATGGAAACAAACTTTCGAGCTCCTTAATGACAAGCACTTATAGAAAAGGAACTTAAAACAGATTAATATAGGTCATTTAAATTCATCTATTAAACATTTAGACTGCTCATTTTAAAGTTTGTCAAAGTATTGGCCATTAAGAGGTTCAAGTCACCTTTATCTTTTTCAAAAGATTGTCACCACATTAAATTTTCCCTGATTAATTCGGTTTAGAAGTCAGTGCTAACATACTAGTACTCTTTTTTTATTGATCTTCATTGTTACGTTGACCTTCATTATAGTCTTCTCATTGAAACCATATTCATTCGCCTAACCCTCAGTTAGTTTATTAGTACGTGTGTGATGGAACAGATTGAAATATATTGTGCAAACGTATAACGTCTTATTGTGTCTCCAGAATTACAATCTTTCTGTTACCTTAATGATTCTATGATGTTGAACATTTCCGACTATTTTTTAGCTGTAATCTATTGGCTCATTGAAGAATGTATCAATCCTATTGCCAGACGATCAATAAGTTTATTTAGGTTTCAGTCATTTACATCTCACTTTTCTATACTCTATAATACATTTCTGAAAATGTTCAAACGATAGTGAATTTGACTGCTTCTATGTTCGTGGTGTTAACTCTTGTATGAATAAGCCATTCATTTACAAGTCCCTTTAATAATCCTGGCTGGGTTGTTATAATACAGCAATTGTTCCCCTTAAAAATCTTTTCAACCTTAATACTCTTCACTCTTTCACTTCAACACCAAATATTACAGCTCTATAAAGTTTATTGATTCTCAAGAAAGCAGATTCTATTAATCGGAGAAATTTTTCTGAAAGCTATTAGATAAAACTGACAAGTATCTATACCCGTAGGATTTATGCAGCCCATGTTGTAAACGCCTACCAGCTTATCAAAAAATCATTTTGTAGGCTCTCATAATTTTCAGAAGTAGAATTACATACTTACAAGTAGTCAAATACATATATGTAAAACTTCTTGTGAAGAAGAATCAGCAGTGAGAGCTGTTCAAGATGTTGTTAGATTCAAAAAAAGATAATAATGGAAGTAATGTAAAACTATTTACAAATTATGAAGATAAAAAATGTGCTCATACAATTTCTGGCACAAATGCGAAATTCAGGTGTTCTATTTCATTTTGATTTTGGAAGTTGAGGATGGAGGGGGTGATGTTGAATGCATTAGAAAGCTGTTTTCTAGTTAAATATCTCCTTTTTCCTGATGATCAGATTTGTTGAAAATTAAATTATGAGGATATCACTTTTTTCATATAAATGACAGTAGACGTTTTTTAGACTGAGCTTCTGATCATAGAATAATGAATAATCCTTTTAGTTCATTTGACTATTAATACAAAGTATGAGACAATATGAACAGTGATGAAATTGTGGTAGGTCGCAAATTAATCGATAATTTCTGTCTGACTAACAAGGTGACTGAGCTAGTACAGCGGCTGAGAAGTCTGATGTTGAAGATTTATAATTTGAATGCTTTTTAATATGAAATTGTTCATTCAATAATATTTCATTGGATTCATTGACTTCTATCGATACCGTCAATTCATCAATTTCATTTGCGCTTTTTGGTGATATCGTCCTTGGCTGACATGTTGAATGCCTTTTTTGTCGTTGATCATGTCTTACTTCTTCTTGCTTCTCTTCTAGGCTATCGGTTCCATTATCCTCTGGTTCAGTATCGTTGGTAATTTCTAGATTGTGTTCTAAATTATTAGTAGCTAGAAAATCATCATTTTCATCTGCATATGTACTACTTCCATCTGGAAGTAGGACGCCTTCTTCTTCCTCTTCTTCACCATCATCTTCATTATCACTGTTCTCCTCTTCAAACTGACTATTACTGCTTGAAATATAGTCTAGTTTATGGTTCCTAAGCAGTCTGTCATCAACACTACCATCAGTGCTACTAATACACCGTGATTCATTCCAATGATCATTATTGCTTACTTCGATATCAGAATTGGCCTCAGTTTTACTGTATTTCCAAGAGTTAAAATGTTGCTTCTGTTGGGATGGTTGACGATAACGTGAAATCGGTAGATGTGGTTCAGTAGAAATAGTGTCTGCTTGTAGATGACCATCATTTGATGCTTGACTAATTGAATCAGTTGATGACTGAGGCCAGTTAACATAATCACCTAAACTAGATCTGTCCCGTTTACGTCGACATGATGAAAATATACTTTTCACTGACGGTTTATACTTTGTACTTGCTACTTTAAACTGGATATCATCACTGAATTCTCTTGTCCATCCACTATATACTGTCGAACTTGTATCATTTGTTGTGTTTGCTGTCGTAATAACTGGTAATAAAGGAGGATTTAGCACTGAATTTGGCAAGGGGTTACGTCTACCAATTACCCTACCTAAATAGAAATAATTTTAGAGAAAGAACGTAATCTTTAAAAGTAGAGTTGACAAAAGTCACTAATTTAGAATTATTTTTTTACAAAGACTTTTTCACAAAAGAACACTGATACAATGATTTAACTTCGTAATAGAATGAGCTTACCCTCAAGGCTAAAATTCTTCTCATGCATGCGAATTACATCACCAGTGACAACATAAACATTACTTAATTCACTTTAGTAGTGATGGTGGATAACAGCTAACACTGAATTCCAGTACGTGCATTTTGTCCTATTTGGGGCCCGTCAGATGGATATTCCTACCTTCCAGTAAGTGATGTTGTTCCTAATGAACCTGGAGCCCTACGCCTTTCGCCTCGAACTCTGGAACATTATCCACTAGCTAATGCGTTACGATATCCACTTCTTGTGTGACGAACTATAATTAGCGGCAACATCGAGGCATTTGTCCAACAGTATAAATGCCAGTGTCTACCTATCAGTTCAGGACGATTAACGATAGGAAATTACACTCCATGACATTACTTGTTTCAGTTTAGATACTTTAGTGCATTTCTGCACAGTTTTTTTTAAAACTTAGGTAAAGCATTGCAATCAATTTCAGGAAACTAACTCAATCTTCATATACAAACTTGTACATTAGGATATCGGCTACTACTACTGTGCGAGGTCTATTTATAAATTACTGTGTGAGGCAGGGTTCAAAATCTTGAATCAAATTACAAATTGGGGATCTAATCATAAGAACATAGAAGGAGTGTAATCAACCAGTCGTGTTGGGTTTTTTAAAAGACCTATAAGAACAGAAAACTTGTGCAATCATTTAGCTTTCTCAGGTTTTCCATGAAATGTCGCCAAGGCATATCTCCAGATCTGAGGTGATCAATACTGTCTATAAGATTTGAAACGCAGATATTAGACCATATACTCAACTCAAGAAAGATGCTATATGCCACGTAGGTCACTAGTACTGAGCATTAAGATACAGTTAGTCGATTCTTTTAATTCACTTTGTTTGTTAAATGTGTTGCAACAACCTACTAATGAGTACTAACAAGAACAAAACTCGAGTGTGTGAAGTGTTGTCACTAAATCCATAGTATCTCTTAGGAAACATTACACACCTACACATATCACATTCGGTGATTAATAACGTTTACTCGACTCTAAGGTGACATGAATACCACTTAATGACTTAAATTTATGTAAATAGTCAATTTATATATGATATAAAACTATGCTTGGAAGATACTGAAATCAACGCCGGAAGTGTAGCAAGTGAATTTGTGAATATTTCTGGTCACTCTGCCATAAAAACGCTGACAAATTGTACTGAGTTTGTAGATCCCACTACTTCTAGATGCTGATAATTTTAATAATTAATTGAAATTTAATCTGGAAGTTTGTGGGGGATTTTTTATTTATTTCAGGTTGGTATTCATCATGGACTGTCATCACTTGGAGAAATATTGAAAACCTGGGAGCACTAGAAAGCTGTTCCCTCCTAGTATCAGACTTCTCAGCAGTACGCACCCATGGCATCCCCAAGACCTTCAGATTCTGTGACTATCACATTACCATGCACCCATCGGGTCGGAACCCAGTGGTCCATATTTCCTACTTCTATCAGTTCACGATATAGCGTGACCTGCAGCAAATGCCATCGTTGAGTAAGTGCCTTCATACCCGAGTTGGTTGACCCCAGGCTCCCAGGTTTCTGTGTACATAACCCAAATCCTATTCAGAAGCTGGTACGCGATTACTAATCACTAGAATGTTCTAGAAAAATTTTATATATATATATATAACTTACCACTCCCATCATCAACAATCGTTGCATTTTCCGGTAACTTTTTACTTGAATGTGTCATATGTAAGCGTGGATTAGGATTGGCTGAGTGACGATTACGACTTCTTCGAGAACTGAACCACATGCTGCAGCCTTTAATTGTACATTTATGCATTTCCTTCAAGTGAACTGCACTGTAATGAATTTTCAGTGCACCTGAAATTGAGATAGGTATGTTTTAAAATGATTGATAATCGACCAGTTTACTTGATTAGAAATTAATAATCTACAAAGTGTCGGTGAAACATTGGTGAAAGTTATCAGTTATATATCCTCTTGTATATTTGATTACCTTGCTTATTCTACTTGGTTGATAAAAGAACCTTTTTCTGATTAAGTAATTGCATTGATCTACATTCGGTACTTGAATATCCACTTTGGACTAGTAACTTGTATCTTTCGGCTAATCTGAACACATCTAGATAGTTTCCATCGCGGTGATAACCGCTAGAGAAAAATGCTGAATTCTAGGGGACATTGAAAAGATTTTCCATCCTGTATTGAAGTTTTTCAGTAATGAACTTCATCAATTTCGAACAGGAGCAATTCTAGGTCCATCACTCAGTTTTAGCAAGCGAACTACCATCTATTCAGTAGGTGCGAATGAATAGCCATTTACGATAGCCAGTTATAATCTCACAGTACTAAGAGACAATAAAAGCCAGAAAACAAGATACCATTGTATTATATTTTTGTGGTCCAAGGATAGGGTGTTTACTGAAAGACCTCAAGATCCTTAAGTCCTATGTCTATCAGTGCTGTGATTGGACACAAACATGCAACTTCAGACTAGAAGGAAAACATTATTCCATACTCTTTGACTTCCAGCAGTTCATTAGATGATGTCAGTTTGTTATAAAAAGTACCCTGAGATCGGCCGGCTCTCCAAAATACCATTTTACTGATGAATTAAAACGTTGTCGAAAAGTCTGTGTATCATTTATGCTGACTATCCAAATGTAGACAAACCAAACATCGAGAAGTGGCTTTCTTCGAGTTTTGCTGACATTTACATCACCAGGAAATGAGGATAGGTCAGGTTATAACAAACCAATCTGATAACGACTTCAATATCAAAAAAAGAGTAGAGAGCAAGTCACTTAAGCTTTAGTTTGTCATAAATACTTAGAATAGTTCACTGAATCCATATCTGTATGTATTCAATATGTGCGGGAATTCATAATTGTTAAATAACACCCGAAGAGAATTATTGTGTGCGAAATGCTGATATCCAAACTAATACCTATAACTATTGAATAAAGTGAGTTTAACATTGCTGTCGATCATATGATAACTTGAATGTATTGTTTTGTGTTGTTAGGATGAACTGTGTTAATGATTCATGAATATTGCGCGTCAGTCCTTAGAATACGATGAATCTTTTGCAAGCACTGATTCCCGACTTCTTAAAGATTTCCATAACAAAAACACAGCCCTTTTTGTATGGTTTTTTTAAAATTCATTTGGAATGATTCATTTTCACTGGGGATAGAAGTAAATTTCGAAAATCAGTATAAAGTGTTTTTGTCAGGCAGAATTTCCTGACAAAGATGAACTCGGTTTCATCTCTGTCTTTTTCAATGAAATAGGAATAAATTGAACCAATTAATTATAATGACTACACTTCCAGTGGTCAGATCACGTACCATACTACTGAAATTTTATTCGAAAAAGGAAAATCAAATTGTCTGCTTCATAAAAGAACACCAGGTGTAAGTTTATCAGGTAATTTCAGTGCTAACATACTCAACACGTCTCATTCTTTTCTACTTCTGTGATAGATGGTTAAGTCTACTTTAGTTATTTCTGAACACTGAAATGCATGAAAGCTCATCTGATTGAATGTTGGAAGGTTTACGAGTAGATAGCTGCAACTCTCTACAGTATGTGATTAGTAGAGCTACTAAACACCACAGCGTACTCAAATACATCCTTGAGGTGAAATCGTGCCAGTATATATACAGAAAATAACGCAAACCCCTATCGCCTACAGATCTACTTTTAGCCGTTCAATCAGATAACGGCTCTTCTCCTCCCTGATTAGCGAATGCCTATCCTTTCCATAGGCTAGACCACTCACCGACTGACTGTTCAAGCCTTGAGCATTCCATTGCAATATAACACCAAGTGACCGTCAACCTCATTCAACTTCAGTAGGGGTAATGAAACACCAGTAACAGGAAAAAGCAATAAAAATAATAATGAAAAAAATAAACTACCTTTATCACAAAATGATTTTTTGCATGTTGTGCACAGAACACGTTTTTTATTTCTTGAGAAATTGTATCCATTCCCTTCGTTACGTCCATCTTCTGACAGATTTGTCACAGAAACTGAATTTGTTTGACTAATCGATGGTGTTTTTGTTACCGTAGTACTTTTCCGTGCTTTCACAAAATCGGGTCTACGATGTTCATGTTTCTTTTTTGTTGGTTGGTGATGAGGATGGTGAACAAGTGTATTAGTTGTTGGCGTTCCTGGTAGTACTGTTGCTATCGATAGTGAAGATAACGATGACGGTGTTGATGTGAGTGTTCCTGATATATGATGATGACTTTTGTGATATGGTTGGTCCAAATTGAAATGTTTCGATTTCACTGAATTAGTGGATAACCGCTGAACAGATGAATTGTTGAAATGGACAAAATTGGAATCCACATTTTCTGAATGAATAAAACAAAAGCATGAAACTAAATGACACTGGTTTTCTCACCGCATAAAACTCTTTTTTCAAAGAATAAAATTGTATAATCGACTCGAAATGCTCTAATTAGATAAATTTGAGTTCACTTTCAGATCAAGACAGAATTTCGGCATACAATGATTAGACTTTGAAATGATTCCTAACTGCGGACAGTTGCTAAAAAAACATCGTAAGACAAACCAGTTGAATCTAAGCTGAACCGACTTGACTGGTAGTTTTATCACCTGTACGGCAGCACATTTTGAGACTTCTCTTTTGAAATGACTGTTAAAACAAAATCATAATTTAAGTCCTAGAATATATTGCTTTTTCTTGGACTTTATCTTACATGGTCAAGGGTTCCGGTCATCTTGTAAGGATCCTGTTCAATGTTCAATGAGCAGGGAAAACTCTTATCCGTCCAAATCAAACTGAATATAGAGGTGGGAAAAAAAATCTTCATCTACTTGAAGCATACCTTAAGGTCAACTAAATAGTAGAAAATAACTGTTTACAATACTTATCGTAACAGCAAATTCTTTCCTGAAAAACAGTATAGTAAAATATGTACTCTCATGAAGTAGTGTAAACGAGGGAAGTGATAGTAATATTGTGTGATTTACGGAGCCCTATAATCAAAAATAAAGAATCCAGTTGTAAGAACCTGTTGATCATATGAACCTTTGGAAATGAATGTTTTCTATACCCAGATGAACAACAATTCTTTCTTCCCTTTTATGCTTAACAAAACAAGTAAACACACACAGAGACAAGCAAGCACAATGGTTGGATATCTATGTCCATAAGTTTGAATGATATTAATCTATCATAATAATCCTCCTTATTAGGTTGTTTACAAACAGTTTTCAAATAGAATATCATTGACGCCAATATGGCTGTTTTTCGTATTTTTATAGCTTAGTTTATTTATCTAATATGCAAAAAGAAATTTTGTAATTGTATGTCTCTCTATCCCTCCCTGTATTCGTGAGGTTTTTATAGTTACTATAATAACCGATTAGTGGTGATAACAATAATAACCATATCGAAACAATCCCATGTCCTCACTGTCGCCATCGCCCACATCTAACCCGTAATTACACACTTGTGTAACCTTCGTCTATACAGTAAATTAGAGCTGGTATTATGGCAGCAGACGATCAGCTTAGCGATATGAGTAAGATAAGGAGTTTACGATGCGAATACACAATTTCATTCCTTCTTTTTACATTATTTCCCTACCTCAATTTTATGCACGAATGGACTAATCAAGTGTACAGGAAGTGAAAGTGTGTTTTGAAGTGAAGAAATAAGAAACCATGTTGGCAGGATACACTTGAATGATCATTAAAAGCTAAAACAGAACTCAGTTGATGGTCCATAGGTGTGACACTGAAATCCTGACAAAACCCATTTCACGTTTCGACTTTAATCGAGAGAAAAATTCACTAAAATCAACTCGCCAACTACTTTTTCTCAGGCAGTGTGTTAATTAACACAATTTTTCGCTTATAAGCTTGATGATCTTTCGACCTCATTATTTTAATCGTAGCTTCCTGTAACTCTATGATTCTAGAAATGAGATGTAAGGATCTTTACAGATAATTGATGAATCTCCACTATGGCCATAACTCAACCCTGACTGGTGAAAGCATGAGCACAGCCTCTCTTTTAACTGGACTTTATCTAGTGTTTTAATGGTAGTGACGAAAGTTTTCTTTCTGCAACACAACTGACGATCTAAAGATTGATCACAGTATGGATGGATAAGTGACTCTATTTATATTACACTTGGTTATCAAAAATAAAAATCTATTCTCATTTGTGCATCCAAAGCAAGAGATTTCACGTTTCCCAGTTTTAAGTGCTGGCCAAATTCTACCGAGCAAGTTGAAATGTGGTCACTGAGCTAAGAGATTCACTACCACGGTGAATGTTGATTGGTGCTACTTGATTGGAAGTGGTCAGCAGGAAGTCCTGATAGAGGTTGGTTTTGTGCTTACTGACAAACATCTTCAGGACGTTTTTCAAATACCAGGGGAACTGATGCTCCATTCACAGACTCAAACCTACCTAACCCAGTGATACATTCAGACAAGTTACTTCCTGCAGAATAGGATTAGAGGCTGACTGTGACCTGAACCGATCAGTGGTTACCTTTCTTACTACAACACTGGGGGATGCTGGTCAAAATCTCCGAGGAGATATTAGTTTCCTAGAGGTTGAAAATAAGCCTTAATGACAAGTGTCAACAAGCAAAAAAATCCTAGGTATAGCTGGGCTTCCTACCGATAACCTCCAGCCAACTAACATATTTCTTCATACCTGTGTATCTCCAATAATAGCTCTCATAGACACTTATGAAGCGAGTTGTGTACAAAGTTTAGTCCGAATTCAACTGTTTCCTCGATATATGTTATTATATGGAAACTGTAATTAAACTAATCGAATCCCTTAAACTATCATTTTTGGTTATTGATAGTATATTTCATACATATAGTATTCTTAAAGCTTTGACTAAAAAGTGAACTAGAAGAAATTTTGTGTCAGTTATGAAAACAAGCAATGATTAACAATTGTTTCATGCAATGAAGTAAGGGAAGATAGAAGATCTAAGCCCATTAATCTCAACCTGAAGATTCACTGGTAGCTGAAGAATCATAAAACCTCAAAGCTTCCAATTCATTCCTAAAAGTGGTGGAGATCATTTACTTCTAACATATCTCATAATTAAAATGAAATAATCACCAGTTTTTAGTTGTTTGTTAGATGATACCGGAGAACTATCAAGAATCTTTTCACTAAGTGGACTGAATATTTAAACGACGACAATGACTGCTATTATCATGATTATTATTATTATTATTATTAAAGTATTTATTTTCACTTAGAAGAAAAAATTACCTTGTTCCGTAGACGGTAAACTGTGCAAAGTATTCGGTAGCCAGGTGTTCACACCAAACAAACTGGCATCAATTGAACTAAATGCAGCTGTTTGCTCATTCAAAAGTAAATGATTATGATTTATTTCAGTCTGATTGTTTTTATTATCTTGACTCATCTGAATTTGTCTGTCACTCCATAGATTCATGTTTATCAATGAATTTGGAGAAGAACAACTATTATTTTTGCAAAGTGTTGTGGAGTTGGACGTGTTCGATTTAGCTGTTGTGATCGTTGGCGTCATTATCTCCAGTGATGATGTAGTTGTACTATTAAGAGAAACATTTGGAAAGCCTGCTGCTACTGCTTTTGGTGATCTAGATGGTGGTAGCATCGACAATGGGTATTTCGAATGCAATGCTGCTGCAGCTACTAGTGCACTAGCCAACTGAGATGAAACTGGAAACACGGATGAGTTAAAAGCTGAGAAATTCAATAAGCTTGTATTCAATAAACTATCTTGACTCGACGATGTTAGTGATGAGTTATCAAAGCCGCAATTCATATTAAAATTTTGATCAATGAATTTCTTATCTTCTATTGAACAATTAACATTGGAATTTGTTTGTAGGTCTGCTTTATCAACTGTTTGATCATTCAACAACTTTGTATCAAGAAAAGATTTTGAATTTCTCAAGGTTGAATTATTCAAGAATGGGTTCAAATTGTTCAATACACCTGGCGGTAACGGAAGACCACTGACAGCAGCAGCGGCTGCTGCCGCCATTGCAGCAATGAATGGGTTGTTACAATTTCCATTAGCTAGAATGTTGTTTATGTTCGTGTTTACAGAATTCCCTTGATTATTACTACTTGTCAATGAATTTAAAGCTTTTTCATTTGTACTGCTTCTCATCCGTTTACAATCATTCTTTCCTGTTGTTCGGTGTGTAAGAGACAGTAGACTGAAGTCGTTCTCCCTAGAAATGTCTAGAAATCCACTAGATCTATTATTTTTATTCTTTTTTACATAGTATGGATTATTATTATAACTATTATTACTAACACTGTTAGGAGAATTCATGATATTTCCGCCAACTTGTTGTTTATTATTCTCGTTAGCAGGGGAAACAGATGATGAAGAACTGTTAGAAAACGATGAAATTGTCAGCGTCCGAGTACTGTTAGGCGATACTTCAGTAGTCGATGGTGACAACAGACTCATTGTGAAATCTTGTGACTTTTTATTTTCACATTTTGTATCGTTTTTTGATTTGAGCGCTACATCAGGAGAAATCTGACCACTACTAATGCAACTACTACCGATTGTTGTAATGACATTATTGACACTATACAATGGTGACAAATGACTTGTAAATGTTGACTGCGAATAATTTCCACTGGTCAACTGATTTGAAGTTACAGTTGTGCTCGACGTCTTTTGTTCGTATTCACTGCATCCTTGTGATAACATTATGTAAGCTAGCTGACGAGTTTCAGGAAAGCGTAAGAACTGTTGAATAACAACACTTTCTTCTTCCACAGTACACATTTCCCAGTGATCTTTTAATGAACCGTTTGAGTTCTAGTTGATAATAAGAAAAGACAAAAGGTGAGTTGGGTTATATGACGTTTATTACCGTTTCCGAAACATTTTCGTAAATGTATTTCTCATCCTATTTTCAAACCATTAGTAAAAGATGGATACGTTTCAGACCTTATGGAGACTGCTTTAGCTTTTAGAGTCAGTTCAACAATGCGAGAAAACTCACAGCAGGAGTCTTACTGTCACCTATATTCGTCAACAAACATCTTACTACATTCATAATCTTTAGACGGATCCAATAGATCCCAAAAAGAAGTTAACTCATTCAATCAGACTAATTAACAGAGGTGAAGAAACCCACCTTATTTCATCTTTAGAAATGCATTTTCAGCTTATTCTACGCCTGCCCGACAAGTTAGCATGTCTTTTTACAGTATGCTTTCTATAAAAAGAAATGAGACTTCACAATCAGTGAATATAAGTTTCAATGATTTTCCTCTGTACTGATAAGTATATGCGTTACTCGCGACAGAATACCTTACCACACAACAGAAATACTGAGTCACAACGCATTAATATCACTATAACCCATATAAAAAGGCTAAAGACTGGTAAAACAAACTATTTTGTCTGACGTTCCATAGCTTGTATTCCCTGGTGGACAACTACACCAAACTGGCCAGCCACTATTGGCGTACGGGGTTATTTATGGTTGCCTAGATATTACCGTTAGCTTCAGTTCGACACCAGTGATGGATTGTTTGTAGGACTGAAACCAGAGGAGTGCATTTTGTTCTAATTAAAGTCTCTCCTGTGTTTGTGGTGATTACTGTAGAGTTGCACTTTAACTGGCAACGAAATCACTCACCGGCGGACAAGCATATTCAGATGATAAGCGCCAAGTAGAATGAAACGTACATATTAAATTCCAATTATAGCCACCACTTAAAAGTAGTAAAAACTTTTTAGACGCTGCGGGTCAATCAACAGAAAACATCATTTCATATAGGTTTCACGCTCATTGGTATTCATCTGTAAGATGTATCTATAGACTATAAAACTTACGTCCCCTCAGCAATCGGAACTTAGATCAATCAGTTCTTAGGTCATTCGGTTCATAACTAGCCCGTTTTATATGACAACAATTGCTCACATAAGTTTGCTACCCGATGGTAACTGAAGTAGCTGTCAAGTTCTAAGTACTGACTAAAGTCTGTTGATTGAGTTCGCAAACACTAGTGTTTGAAAAATGTTGAAAATCTAACAGAAAATAGTCATTTATTTATTTACTTCACATGAGCAAATTTTGTCTAGCTTCTAATTGCTCAAATGAACGAAGCAACTATCAAATCTGGTAGAACATTAGCAATGAAATGTTGAACGAAAAAGTAAAGATGAAATATCAATCTACACTTCACATAGGAAAACTGATTTATTCCAACTCACAGTAGACGACTGTATCAATCGGAAAAGTCAGTAGTTGACATGCACATTTTTAATTTGATAATCGATGTTTATCTCGTCAAGATTTATTGAGCATTTTGTTGAAGCAGTTGGTAATCAGAAACAGACAGTCATGAAATTCGCTTCTTTTTACTGAATCAGCACGTGTAAGTGAATTTCAACCAAATAGTTTGACGACCAAACGCTTGTTGAAACATTTAACAGTCAAAGAAGTTTAATCTTTTGTAAGGTGTACACACTCTGTATTGATAAAAATCTCTCAGCTATCACAGGTAAACTATACAGTGCTCTAACTTTTGCATGATTCACTTTATAATATCATTTTGTAATGATAAAATCATCTTGTATCCGTAAAGTTAGTTAAATGATTTTGTTTCGAGAAAAATGGGTAAATTATTTTCTCACTCACCAAAATTTCATCTGGTTCAGCAATCAAGCTCTTTCATCAAACTGTGTTTCAGTCAATATTTGTACTCAGTTTATAACACTCTCAGTTCTCAATGAGAGATTACTGTAGAACTGTTTGATTCACCTTTCCAGATTCCCAATAATAATTGTTAATAACAGTTGTCAACTACGACAAATCAGTGACTGACGAAATCTCTGTACGGATAAAAAGGGTTTGTTTGGCTTTTGTCAAATAGTGCTATTCATGGCGCTGGCATGATATTCAGCTGTCTATTAAGGGTCTAGAATAGTGTGTAACACTATGTTTTGTGCTAATAAGTGACTGTGAAACATGGACCATTAAAGCTGGAAGACACGAGAAAGTCTCAGATTTTCGACCACCGTTATCTTCATAGCATAGGCCATGTGTCATTTAGCCACCATGTCAATAACGTAGAATTCAGTTGTAGATTTTTTGGTGAAAGGGGTAAGTCAGATTATCACGCTGTTCGCCCTTATCAAATTCGGTAGCTAGGAAATGTACTACGCATATATAGTCAGCGTCTTCTCTATCACACAATATCAGCAGAAGTAGTTTCAAGGTGGGAAAATGGTTAAAGGTGATCGGACCAAAACATATGATCATACCACTAAGTCTTTGAAAATTGGTCTGAGCCATGTAAGGAAATGTAAACGTGTTGATTGGGGTATGCATGACGACTGAAATCGATGGTTGTAAACTCCTGGTGGCATGGGTGAGAATCAATCTCGGTGGTTCAAATGTATCCACACATAATCTTCATCTGAATCATCACATAGCATTTCTTAACTGTTTCATGTCCTTGTTTTATTTCTTTCCTTGAATTTAACTATACATTTCCCATCTTTTGTCTTTATGCTTTCTACCCTATTTTGCTGATGTGTACGGCAACCTGGACTGCCACCTAGTACCTTCAGCTCCTATGCTGATACCAAGTGACTGGGTGGAAGCTAAAATAAGACAGTTAGCTACCACCAAGAGCATACTGACCTATAGACTAACTGTTCCTGTCTAGAAATCCCACGAAGTTAACCTATGTCGACGCTAAAATGTGAAATAGAAAGCCATTCAAAAATTCTGAACCACTGACTGAAATTTGCGTAAAGTGGGAATGGCCTTCAATCCAGTCACGCAATTCCCATTCAATTAGCCAAAAAACTATTACAGAAAAGGAAACATTTTCGCTAATAAAGCCGTTAAGTTATTTCACTTAAAAACAAACTTACAGTTAACATATATCCTCGACTATAGTCTTGAAATGTCCATCCAAACGTTAACAAGAGTCTGACAACATCAGCATGGGCCAGTTGGGCAGACAAAAGACGATCCAATAGGATTTTAATTCGCATCGGAATAGCTTGACAACCAAATAATGACATACTCAACAGTTCCAGTGTAGTAGTAAGCATTAAAGGTTGTGGTGAGTTACTTGTTTCAAAATACATCGGTAAATTCACTAACTTAGGAAGTACTAAAGGCAATGGAAGGAAAAGTAAATGTCAGATGAATAGTCAGTTAACTGATTGTACTGCATAATATTAGACTACACAACTAAATGAATGAATCGATTCTTTTGGGGGTAATGGCTTATGGTCTTAACAATATTATTACGGAAGAAAACATACATTACGACAGAAATATATTCGCAGTAGACTTTTCAACGACACTCTCATCTTCCTTTCCAGTGCAATTTGGCAAAAAATAGCTTACAAGCGAACATCCGTGAGTTAGGTTAGCACAACTACTTGCCTCTCATTGAACCCAAACGAAAATGAAACCCGTTCACCTTAGCATATACTAGGTTAAAAGTTGCAACATTCAAAGTTATTCGATAAGTTCACAAAGCAGAGATGGATTAATTAGAAACAAGAAAGTTGTAATAAAATAAGACACTCCCTTGCAGGAAACCATACAATTTTCATCATAGGAATATTGGTTAAGTTTATCATGTTTCTTTTTGAGTATTCACATCTCCGAGTATAGTCTTCTATCATACTGCCAGAGGAAGGCACGACTGCCCAATTATTTGTGTAGATTGAGTCGGTTGTTCGAAAGTGATTTAAGTTTATATATGTATAGCATGGATTTCACCATCTGTCATCATTTATTAGGACAGAGTTCTGTAGAACTTTGCCGAAAATTTGACGATGCAATGGGAAAAAGTTCTTTTAAGCGTTAAATTAGTTGTCTTGTATTCCATGAGGAGTGAATCACTAAAATACTTGTTTTCGTATCCACAGCTGTTGACATAATCCTCGGTTTATACTGATATTTATCACAGATGAATAGTTTATTCAACTGCTCAAGTATAATATCAGCAGAGTTTCCCGTATAACCTCCCCCTCCAGTGGAAAACATAAGGCGTGATCCCTTACTCAGAAGTCACATTAACTAATTATACTTCTGAACAATATGACTAGTTATCGACCACTCTCACTGATTTTCGGATTTCGCTAGCCAGATCAGAATGATATCAGCACCAAACGGCTGTTTGCTCATTTAAGGGTGAGATGATCACCAGTGGTGTACATGGACAAATTCAGTTCACATAGGAATCAAACTGTCCAAACCGACTGAATCTAGCAAGCTGACTGAGATGAACCAGTATCCACCAGCAAATAGTGCTTCCAGTCTCAGTCTAGATATAATTTTCTTTTAGGTTAAGTAGGAGTTTTTCAATTCACTATTCCGGGATATTACGACTGGACTTTGAGGAACATCATCAATCAAGTTTGGCGGTGAATATTTGTAAAAGTAGAGAGATCTTTCAGTTGCTTGTTTGCAGGTTTCGGACACCATATACATTGGATTATTGAGTCAAACCTCATAACTTAAGACTACATTCAAAACAGTGCAACTGACTGATCGATTTCATAACACTCTTATAACCAAGGCACAAAAATGGTTTGTCAACGAGAAAATTAACCAGTGACCACATAAGTGAACAAATCTTTAAAACAGTTCTTCAGCATGGAGTTGAATAACTTCTTCAGATAAGTGTAAGATAGTAAGCTGTTCTGAGGTAATCAAATACTGTTGGTTAATGTGTGTTGATAAAAGAAAGCTTAAAGATGTAGTTCCCTGACGAAAACCCTCAATTTTTAACAAAATGTAATATTCTACTGTACCAGCTAACTTAGTGTTCACATTGTGTAGTATGATCGACTGATTTGGAATTCCTCTGTGAACTACATCTTAGCAACTAACCGATGGTTGAAACTGGCATAACTGACCATAACGCCCAATTAACTTTTCGTCTATGAATTCTTTAGGAACTAACAAGTAAGCTGTAAACTATCTTCCGTTAACCGTGTCACGTGAACACAGACACACACACGCATACACACAATCGTACTCATGTATATGATAAATGCTTTTGGGGCTGTGAAAGAACTAAACAAAGACTAAAAACGCAGAAACAAACAGGAAATATACATTTAAAAAATTTCTTTTTACGACTCGATTTACAATTTTGTTGTAAAAGAGACGCTTTCTGTGCATTTATTGTCAGTGTTCTATGTCTAGAATAATTAACTGTGCGCAACTGGTGACCATTAACAAAGTTGTTAAAAATTTTACACCTGACTGACTATGCAATCGAATATATTTACATTACCAGACTAGGCATGTAAACATTTATGTGTAAATATGCTTTTACATATGTGTCTGTGAGTGTGTTCAATTTCAAGCATTTATTCACAACCCACCTATGGCAAACACAATGTATACCAGCGGTAGTAGCGATAGATGTAGTCTGTGTGATCCAATAAGATTAATCGATCAAGAAATATTTTATGACAATTAGTTGGTTTTATTGCATCCCCACTGGTCAACCCACAGTTTCCTCCTCTCAATACATTGGCAAAACACTATCATTATCATCGCGTCAACTTTTCTACACCCCAGATTCAATATTCAATCCAATTTGTTGTTCTCCTTGTTTGTCCTGATATTTTATTATGTTTTTTTCTCGTTGTTTCTTTCATTGGTTTGTATACTGTTTCTTCCCCTATGTCCCTCGTTATCATGTCATATACATATATGATGATGTCTGTGTTTATGATCCAATTTATACTAATGAGTCAATGTTTTGTATTTCACTAAATATACTACTACCTACGAGGACAATAGCTTCTACTTGCCACCCTCTCCTTACTAATTTTTTTTGTTAAAGCAAGACTAATAATAGAAACAGTAATAGGCAAGAAAGTATAGCAGGAGAAAGGCATAAAATTGAACCATAAGTGCGACACAAACTTTTTAATTCTTTCTTTGCTTTTAGCCCACACAATGCCTTTTACAGTAGAGTAAGAAAGAGCGAAAGAAAGAAATTGGAAATTTCAGCGTTTTGTTTTCGCAGAGATTGTAAACAAACCTGTTAATGTATTGATTAGTTAAAAAAGTTTCCTGTTTCCATGGGTAATTTTTTCATGGACATCTATATGTTCAAAAGAATGAAGACATCACTAGGCTGATGAGTATGAACAGAAGAAATGCGAAGTGTTTTTACCGTAATTCAAAACTGTTATATGTGTATAATTTAATGATAAACTATTGTTTCACCAATAGTTACATTAAAGTTAACGGAAAAGAATTGATTAGGTATGGCGAATGATAATCATCCACTGAATTTTATTGGTCTTCGAGACGTATCGAAGAACAAACTCATTATATTGAAAATAATAATAACTGTAAGTATGAGACACTGTTTGATTTTCAACTTTGTATCGTTTATCACCTATAAGTGAGGTGTATCTGCAACCCTGACGAATCTTTACCTTCTATGAGATTGAAAATGCCAAACGCTGAATTCCAGTCCAGTTGCTCAGCGATGAATCACTTTCTCACCGTGATAAATGAAAATTATTTCACGTCATATAAAGGCTGCTGATATCGCTGAAAATTTCTAAGCATTATAAAGCATGTATTTACTGCTAAGTGTTGATCATTATGGTTTTCTAGAGGAAAATTACTTCCTGCCAGCTGAAGAAAACCGTGGAATATCAAGGACAATCATATCACCTTAAACGTCTGAACCGAAGTCACTTGGCATCATTGTAAAAGAGAATACGATTGAGTTATTCCGACGTTAGTAGATCATTGATAAGATTGATCAAGTAGACCAATTACTCATTACTACTTTCTAACTATATAATCCTCCATTTTGAAAGAATCATGTTCATCAATGTTTTGTAACTCTCAAAGGATCTTTATCAAGTATATTACATGAAGCATATAAACTACGATATCAATCTATGCAATTTAGTGACTCTCTTCCCAAACTTTGTTGATAAAACTCAATAAGAATAGTGGTAGTTTTGTGAAGACCGAGTTTTGTCACAAACTAGTACACTTGTATAGATACATATAACTTTCCTACTTACATCAACTCTTGCACTCAAAAGCAAATCAATCAAGAGTATTCTGACTTATGAAGTGTACCTATTCGCCTATCTTTGTTTGATAATCAACTAAGCTATGAGATCAACAGTAGCTGAATAGATTTTATCACCACTGTTTACTAAAGTCCATATGGCTATATCGGTTACTCTCTGGTGATCAATCCGTAAATAAGGAGCCAGCTGAGGCCTAAGTAGTTTGGTGATAAATCTTTTGACTTCAGAACTGAGTGTTGTAGGTTCAGGTAGTCAAAGAAACATCAATTTCATTATGCGTGCAGATATATATTGTTGGTAAGCATCAGTAAACACGAGTCCTAGGTCGAACAGGGCATCCTGATGATTGAGTGTTAACATCTAACATTGACAAACCCCTTAACAGAATAGCTCCTTAAGTAGAATAGTTTCTGCAGAGAAAAGCCAATTCAATCAACATATCTGATAAAACTATTCACTTACCATGTAAACACCAAGAATGATGACAGTTTGTACACTGGCGAATATTACTTAAAATAGGCTGAAATGTTTTACATTCACAGTTTGTTGAACCGCACTTATTGATCTCAGGTAATCCAAGATTCTTTTGTTTTAATCAAATAGGATGGGCATAAAAAGAAAAAAGAAAAAGACCTAGATTAATTTTATAGATTTCATTTTCGTTTTATTACTTATTTTGTAACCATAGAACCAATGGAATCTTGGGGACAGTGGACTGCTGTTAGTCCTACTTTGGGACTTCTCAGCAGTGCACATGCATAATCTCGTGAGGGATTATACCGAGGATTATTGGTTCTTACAGAAAATACGTTACCATTCAAACACTGAGTTGGAATTCAGTGGTACATTTCAGGTCACTTATGTTGGTTTACAGTATCCTGCCACCATCAACCAATTTCATGCGTGAGCATCTACCTCACGTCCGACTTATGTCACCCAAAAAACTGGGAGTAGTGGATAGTTGCTTCAACTTAGTTTGCAACTACCCAGCAGTGTTCGCCAAGACCCCACGAGGAGTCATTAACATCACTGTTTATCAAAAAGATCAATAGTAATCGTTCGGAAAACGATAGTTCACCCGGAAAGATTTTTTTGAAACAAAAATAAATAATTCAAAATATGTGGATGAAGGAGTAGATGGAGGAACATGATCAGGTCTGAAACACAAAATACTTCCTAGAAAATAAAGATAAAAAATCTTGTTATTTAGAAAGATAATGCCTTTGCATCGATGGGGCCGAGTGTATGCACTGTTTTGTACAGAATGATTCAATCAGAAGTTAAATACTACTGGTGAAGTCCTTGAGATTGGTATACGTGGCTCCTGTAAACTACTTTGAAGGAGCAGCTAGTTTAAACTGTATGTCCCGGGATGAAAAAGTATTCGAGAACGGAGCTGTTGGCATTTTCACTCTCCATAGACTGATTCAAAATACACTGTTTACACGCAGAGTTCATATAAGTGTGGATAGTTCTTAGATAACAGCATGAATCAACAATATATATTATGCCTACTCTTCATCTGATTGTTCGACTTTTTCTAAAGGTGGGTAAAATATTAACAAAAATTTACAATACTGAAACACGATTTTGGCATCGTAGGTGAATAAATAAATAAGTAAAACCCTATATATTTTCTCACCACATGAACTTGTTTATTCACGTGTAATTAGCTATGTACAAAGAATTGCTACCAGAATTTGTTCATTTGACCTTAAGAAATTTTTAAAGAAAATTCTTCTGTTTTAAAATAACTGAGAAATATGTTCGATGATACTGGGTGATGATTGAAGGTGAGATGAAAATTTAGGCTGCTGCCGGATTCAAACCACCGACCACCGAATTTCAGACCCATTGTTCTACCAACTGAGCAACGACACTCGACTACTGAGCAGATTCTTATCTTACTCCAATCACCACCCAGTACCAACACTGGTCTGCCAAATCGCGGCTATCTCAGACAGTGAAAATAACAATAAATATATGTTTGGTTGTTCGCTTAAATGCATATGATAATGCAAAGATTCAGGCGTTACAGGCAATCACCAGGAAGCTCTGGTGGAAATCAAGAGTAAGACGTGTCGACAACCTGAGGGGAACTGGTACTTTCTAAACAATTGAAACATGTCAGTTACCACTACACTTGTAGACGGTAACACGGAGTTACTTGATCTGTGATTGGTTTCTTATAGGATCAGATTAAGCACGTGAATCAGTTACTGGACAGTAAACAATATTGTGTTGGCTAATTCTATGTAGTAATCGAATTTTATCGATCATTTGTGCAACTCAGTCACCAGGCTAAATAATGTTTGTTGCTTTGGGATAGTAGTGAAGGCAAGTATGAAGATTTTCTTCTAAATAAGAGTCAGTGATAAACTGTTAGTGAGAAAAAGTAGGAATATTAATTGCAGACTTCAAATTATTGGGAGACATTATGAAACTCAGTGTTAATTAATATTTCTTGACACTATCCAACATCGAAATGAACTTTTCCAATACATTGAAATTGAAGGATTTATATCAGAGAAAAAAATGAACTTTGAGTTAAATTTATATCGAGGACAGTATTGTGACGAGTCGATTAGTCAGAATTCTGGGATAATTAAGTGAAATCTCATGATTTTCGTTTTCCAGCCTCGTATAATCCAAGTAAAAGATACTACTACTCAGTACCCTGAGTAGTTAGTAGTATTATCTTTGACTACTTCATAACACTTTTGTGTCAGATATCACACTTTGTGATCTCGCCTGAGTGGCTTCCAGAGGAAATCTTGTCGGTATCACAGTTCGGCAGCTGAAAAAAGCTGTGAGAAATCTTCACATGGAGCATGCAATTTGAAAATGATTTATAATTTGATCATTCTACTCGTATAATTCATATCATGAAAATACCGTGCATATTTGACTTTCAAGTGTTTAAAAGACATCAGTTAGCTAACAAATAAAAACCGTGGATGAATGAGCAAGGAAAAAGACTAACTGTCACATTTAAAAAATGAATAGCTAATCCTTTTTTGGAGATCAAACTTGTTCAAAGAGTATTAACATACCAACCTTCAGGTTATTTGGTCCAACTTGGACCAGTAGTGCTTCACTGTCCATGCCATTCAGAAGACAGTGCTAAGCTACAAGAATACTTATCATCACGGATAACCACAAGGGGGTTAAATATCGTCTTGATATTTACCAAAAGCTTTACAGTCTCCCGTTATGAAAAGAATTCCCGTCGTAACCAATCACTAATTTCGAAATAATTATCCAATGTTTAGATGGGGACCTACAGCTTTTACAGAAAATGTATCCCAGTAAGGTCAGGTCCAGTTATTCGAATATTTACATGCTTTCTGTAGATTACCTGTGTCTTCAACACCTCCCTATGATTAGTCTTTAGTGCCTAATACTGAAAAAGAACTACATATCTAAATACTTCATGGTTCCCATTGTGTGTTTTTAGATGACATACATACGTAGTTTGGGGTTTATGGAGATTTTATCTTTGAGGTAGTAATCACTACACAGAACGCATAAAACACTGGGAGCGTTAGACAGCTGTTTCGTCCTAGTGTGGGACTCCTTAACGGTACGCACACATGACCCCGCCCTACCAGGGACCGAACCCAGGGCCTATGGATTCAACGGCGAACACATTCATCATTCAGCCAATGAGTCAGAGTTCCATAGTCTATAATTTCCTACTTATGTCAGTTCACAATATAGCCCCAGTATCCCCTAAGATCTTTAGCTGGCATTCGCTTCACTTTTGGCTGGTTGACCCTACAGGTCACGGCTTATAATTACAACTTTGGGATACCTATCTTGAAGCATTTCGCGATTAAGGAGTGTACAGTAATGTTGCGTTAAGCTTATGAGAATCTTATTGTTAAGGTAGTATTCATCATGGGTCGACATCAGTTGGATAACGATTGATAACACTGACATATATATTCACGATAAAAATTGCCTTGAAGATAACTAAAGTTCTAATCCTACCAAATGTGAATTGATTTTTCGGTTTCACTATCCATAGAATATCATTCAGTTACTAAGCCAAGGCTGTAATCTCACTCCGTAGGTTACTGCTGTCCACGACAAGGACGATAATAATAAAAATAATAACAGTGAATTTTGTATCTTAAAAAAACATACATATTCATATCTGTCATAAATTTGTCTAAAAGTAAAGATCCAGGTTCACACTCATACTTTAGAAATGGGTACATAAACCTATAAGTCCTTAAAATGTAAGACAATACTGGTCTCTTATGTCTTGGGAGATTGTTGTTAGAAAGATACATTAGAGAAGACATAGTGATCCTTTAATGACAATCTTACAATTGGCAGAAAAATCCCCCTTTGCCCCACAAACACATCTGCTATACATACATAGACGCTAACCACTACTGCCACCTAGATACAAGTAAAGAATTAATGAAGTTTAAACACAGTGCATATCGGGTATCCTTATTCATTTCAATGTCACGCGTATGTTTTACATTATGCTATATCTTTGTACAGACAAAATGCAGTAAAATACACACACAATGGTCTGTGTGAGCTCAGGGGGTCTTATTTATTTGTGTCATCATTAGTGGTGGTGTTGTCATTGTTACCTTGACAACCAGATGAAAACTTGACCGTGATATTCTCATTATTCACGAAAAACTAACATGTTATCATTCAAAGTGTAACTGTAATTTCAATTAAATACTTAAAATCATAAACTTTTTTTTAAAAAGCAAGACTATGCCATGGTTGGTAGTAGAACTTTTGTATGCGAGGGGAACAACTGAGGTCGGGGTGGGGGGGGGAGGTTGAGAAACAGGAAGTTTAGATCTGTTAAGATGTTGAAGCTTGAAAATCGATAAATCAGGTGTACATTTCTAAAATAATTGTACTTGTTCTATTTGCACATAACTATACTAAGAATGATTCTCGTGGGATTTAGGTTTCCTCACTTTTATATGATCATCACGTCTAACAGGATAATTACACTACCATTATTCAAAGGAATTATTTGAGATCGTCACTGTCTTTGGTAAATTAAGTTTACTAATGTGAGGTGGTGATGGCTGAAGAGGAATTAAAAACCTAGTTCGTTGTAGTATTTGAATCAGTGGTTTAAGGATAATTGATCCAGCTGTTTACCAGCTATAAGGTATAACAGGATTGGATCAGTAATCCGAAGATCAGCCGCTCAAACCTTACCAAGACTCAGGTTTTCATTCCATAGTTAGTCATGATTCGCTGCCATTTTTTAATGCTTAAGTTAGTATGAGTTCTCTCAGTTGAAAGATAGAAACGAACAAAGATAACAGTATATTTATCAGCACTAAACAACACTAAGAAAACTCATAGAAGTAGAGACTGAGATCGCTTCCAACCAGTATGATCTGATCAGCTCATACGAAAATGTTTACTCGTTATGCTCATTTTCCAGATAGAAAGATGACCGCTTGTAATGTGTAGTCTTCGCTTATTTATTTATTTACTGATTTCAACACATGATATTCCAAAACCATCAGTCAACGTCATACATTTTTGAGAAAGTGAAAGGGTTTATTACTGTTTTATTCTGTAAATAACTTTTTCGATTTAATTTTAATATGCATATTGCAATCATCCAGTCGGTACTGATGTATTTTAGTGTGTCATTTCACTGTACAATTATAAGAGATAATATCCATCCAGTGGTGACTATAAGTTCAGTTTGTTTGGAAGTGAGGATAAGTTTGAGGTATGGGCACCTCACTTTTTAATAATCGTCTCTAACTGACTCTTAATACTAAGTGAAATGTGAAACTGTTAGTATCTACTTAGAATCTCGGACACAACTGCATCGGTTCAGGTTGCCACACTTCACAGTACTATGCAAAAACTAAGTGGATACAAAAGGAGTGACATCAATAAAGACAAAGGTGTATTAGGGGAGAACGAATATGCCGATCAAGGTTAGTGAAAACGTTAAAGCTCCAGATGTCAAGAAGTGAATATATCTGAGATATTGTGACCGATTTCAGCAATGTCCCCAGGGAACTCCAACCACTTATCTCGAGGACCTTAGCCAGACACCTCACACCTCTTTATGTGACTCAGATCATCGGTCAGAGGATTCATAAGTTGGTGTCACGTTCTGATCTGGCCACCCCTGAGACTTCTTTCAACCTAATCCGGCTTCGGGTAACATCACACATAGAAGTAGGCAATGGCTCGACGTGAGTAATCATGTTCAGACCACTTCAGTCGCTGATGGTTCAGAAACTTATCTATGCACTTGCCTTCCTTGATTAATGCTTTCCGCCTAACTTCGACATCGCTCACACGACGATTCCACCATAAGTGAGCAACGCTGCTCAATGAGGATTATACAAAATGTTATACATGAACTCCGATTACTGATATTAAGGGAGAATGTATAAACCAAGTTGTTGTTTCGCTGCAAGTAAGTTTATGGCATACAGGATATACCAACAATTAATTGACTGCGTCTGAACCATGGAGATGAAGAGTTATTTACATTAGTTATGGCAAGAATGTTTTCCCTCCGAACTTAGTTTTCCGACCTAAAAGGTTGCAGAATACACAATATTAAACAAACTGTAGATTTATTAACATTCCGACCATAGTTGTTACAAATGTCCTGGAAGAAGTTGTGGGCCGAGTCTGATTTAATCATTATAAGAATTTATTTTACTATAACCCACCGTATTTAGAAAATCAAAACAAGATATTTCTGAACGTTGCACCATGTAAGCCATAGCTTCTTCAGCAGAATACACGGATTTTTATTCACATCAAAATATACCGTCAAATAATATATCAAATATTTAGTGGATGTAGGTCACTGGTTAGATGGTTTTCTATCCTGCCTGAGTAATTAAGATTAGTCATTACAAGTTCACACTTGTTATTGTCATTTCTGAATCCTTAATAGTCAGGGTAAATGAACACAAGTTATATACGAAACATTCATCGAGGAATCAAGATAAATTCAAAAATCTAGAAAGCAATCAGCAATAGCTATGCATGCAGTCGAAAGTGGACACATGATTGACTTTGAGAATGTAGACATATTGGGAAAAGGTTTCCATTCGTAAAAAGAAAGATTAACTTTCGAAACCCTGCATATTTCAACAACATCAGATGCTAGGAACAGAAAATAAGGTATAGACTTGTCACCTATTTGGTAAACATTAATCCCGAAAAAACATTGATGAAAACCTTTTCTAGTTGAAGCTTCAATAACAATGACAATTACTGACTGTTCATAAATAAAAATACAAGCAGCAACACGCATTGTAAAACATGTATAAACACACACAAACACACTTTGAATATCCAACATTTTCGTTGACAAATGACAGTAACATGTGTGAACTTGTAATGACTAATCTTAACTACTCAGGTTGGACAAAAAACCATTCAACCGATGACTTAAATCATAATTTACTTGATTTCGGCCAGCACAGGAATATAGGGTGGGCCTTTTGTCTTATTTGGGACTCATCAGCAGAAAGTACCTGCACCCTAATGAGTGTTGTTCCCACTGAGACTCATATCTCATACCCATCACTTCAAACGCCACTGGGCCACTGAGGCACGGTAGTCACCTCCTATACAACAAATCGAATCGATCGACCTCTGTTGGCACATAGACTCCTACGTAAATGTCTCGATTTCGCCTGAATATTTATAATAATTACTATTATTATTTGCTGAGTTGCCTACATTCACTAAGTATTTGATGTATTATTTGACTATATATTTTGATGTTAATAAAAATCCGTTCGTTCTGTGGAAGAAGCTGTGGCTCACATGGTGAGACGTTCAGAAATATCTTGTTTTGATTTTCTAAACACCCTGGGATTATATTAAAAGATACATTCTTAAAACTGTAGGTTTGTCTATGTTCTAGGGATATTAACATGATTTGCGTTTGATTAGCCAGTAGCAAGTTTTTCTGTACTAGTCTTTAGTATTTTACCTAAAAGAATCCTTGTTACTTACTTCACCAATAAAGTCATTTTAGGAATGTTACTGTACACGTGACTGAGCATGCGAAATAACTGTGAGTGATTTTAAATTGTCTTAACACAAAATAATGGGGTTACTTCAACAAGATTTGGCGGTGTCTGTCTCTAAAGTTCAAAGGCAATCTAAAGATCATCAAGGAAACAGTAAGTGTTTACTAATAAACGTAATTGATGAAGCGTTGTCCGCTATGACATATCTCAACTACCGGTATCCGGCATGTCACCATAAAATCTTTATGTGGCTTTACCAACACCAGTGGTCCAAATGGTGTGAGTGAGTAATTTTGAGTGTAATTTAAATTAATTTCTTCCGGTGTTATACTATTCTTATATTTACTTGAACGAAATAATGACCGGTAATATCAGTCACGCCATATTTAGCTGAAATCACAACATACCAGATGCTGGCAGTTTCATGAAGCTGATCCACGGTTATACAAGATTATTATGACATTGCATACCATTACAAATTAGGCTGGTACTAGGGACAAATGTAGGCTTAACACTGTTAAAGTAATGTATAAATAAGTGTCCGATTGATAACGGTAACATTAATTCCGAAAAGAAATAGCGTAGTGAAGAAATAGCATAGGAGTGGAGAACAGAATTTGAATTTATTTACCACCTATTTTTTAACTGTTCTTCTTATGCATTTGCTTTTCACTAAAAATTGGTCAACCACATTTTCCAGAGGGTTTATTCTCACTCTTTATACCTAAAGCATTTTTTCTAAAAATCCTTTCAACTGTAGTCTGGTAACTTGCTCCATAAGTTTACCAAAAGGTATTCTAGAACACTGGCTGCTTTCAAAGTTAGTACGTACTGTTCACTCTATAGATAGGTGAACAGAAATAATAGGATTAACTTCTTAAGAAATGAAATCGAAGCTTCTAGGTACAAGTCATTGGTATGCACTGCTGAGGAGACCCATACCAGGATGAAACAGCTGTCCAGTACTCCCAGGTTTCCATTGTTTCTTCAAATGATTTCATTCCATGATGAATACCAACGTGAAATCAATAAACAAATCCCTGCAAACCTCCAAATTGAGTTAGACTAATGCTCATTGGTGACTAGCTACGAGAAGCGATCCTCAAAGTTCCAGTATGAAGTGGTGATTGGTGGGGCCGATAAAATCGAATATGAGGTGAGTTACTCTACGACAGCATTGGATAGAGGTCGCGCCATATGGACCACTGAATTCCAAACCAATGACTCAATGGTAACAAGTAACACAGTTGGCCATCACTGCTAACACTCAGACGTTTGATGAATAGTGCAAGTTTTTAGGCAAAAATAAATCTCTCAAAGTAGTAATGAAATGATTATAGAAATGAGCATTTTAGTTTTTGCGAGCTTCTTGTGATGGTCTTTGTATTGGTATATCTTTCTTTTTCACACTAAATGAAATCATCTGTGTGGAAATTTGAGTCATCTGAATTTTGTGCCAAATATGCACTCTGGGAAAATGGCAATGAGTCCCTTAAGCACTAGAGATGCTGACGGATGCATGACATAACATCATTAAATATAACTTACGGAATTCCCCAATGATGAGCCATCTGAACCATCCAATTTGCTACGCATATCCACCATATTTAAAGAAATTATTTTTCTGCTTTCCAATTCCTCTTCTTCCTATGTAGTGATAATTTGATGACAGTGATAAACACGCTTCAAGTTAGTAATCGGATCTTGAATTAACCTTCCTCAAAGTGGTTTCCTGTCGAACACAGTTGTTTTCAAAAGTTCCAATGTAGCGTCGTTGTTGTTGTCCAAACGAATGATGGGAGAATGTTGAATATTATATCACCTAACAATATTTGTTTTGTCACCGCACACACAAACGCACACTGTTCCGAACACACATAGTCACATACGTGCATATAAACACCTGCTGTTGTTGTTACTGTTATCATTATTATCCTTTCTGTGACTGCTTGATACACACCATGGTGGACATAGTGTGTATCACTTTTGTGTGGGGAACAAAAATTTCCTATAGAAGGATGAGAGACAAGAGGAAGAGGAGGAAAAAAGTCGTTTTCCTATTAAGCGTGCGTCATTCTAAAATTTGTGAAATATGCAAAAAGACAGTAGGACAGACAAATGAAACCACTATCCCAGAGATAATATGCATCTACACGCGTTTGGGTAAACTAGGGGACCAAAACAATTTCAAAGTCTAAGGGGTTATATCTATAGTATGCATTCTGTAAATAGAAAATACAATGTCGTATAGGTCGTAAAGATATGTTTGCTACCTCTGTTTGATCACTTCTACCCTAATCGAAATCTTTTACACCACCATAGTGGTTAGGTTAGACAAACTTTCAGTGAGACGAAAAAGTTGTATAAACTTTTCTTAACATCAGAAACGTGTGTGCTTGTGCATTGGTGGAATGTGACAAAGAGTAACAAGACGATAAGAGCGAATAAACTTGTAACAACAATAGTAATAATTATAATTATTTTGTTACTGGTCAGACTAAAATTGGCCAGCCTCTTCACACTTAAATGAGAGAAAAAGTAGTCTATTTATTCCACCAATAAGAGTGAATCATAGTCCGTGAAGGAATTGCATGTCCCAGCCGTTTGTATATGCATGTGTCTAAATGACTTGGCGTCATAACAGCAAACAGTAAAGGACAGTATTCTACTGTTTTACTACATTTTAGTTATCACTTACGTCTCTTGCGTCTTTTTTTTACAGCATTATACATGGTCAGTAATAAAAGCAGAACACATTTTTGTACAAGTAGGACAGGTTTGTAATTCAGCGAACGAGTGAATAGATGAATGAAAGAATATACCTTAGTGAATATTTATGTATGTCCTAGGAATGGATGAAATTATTGACTGTCATTTACAAAAGTGATCAGCGCATTCCTAGTTTAATTTTAAAGAGGAGAGAGGGAGAGAAAGCACACGTGCACGAAAGCGAGAAAAGAAATGTTATTTATGATATTCATTCCATCCATAAATGGGTTATTCACTTGAATGAATTCATTTGCATTTCAGCAGGCAGAAAAAAACACCGTAACTATAATCTTCAGTGACAGCTAGCTACAGAATACATTCGGGGAAATGTCAGTAAATTAAGTAGTAGTCTAGTGTTTTGCTTCAATATTATGATATCAACTGGTAAATATCAATAGATAATGCAACAGACATAGGTTGCCAACCAAACACTTCAAGATAGAAATCTTATGGTTTAAATACTGCTGTTAGGTTTACCACAGTTTACTCTTAACACTGAAGTAGGACTACGTCGTAAGTCGATCAAAGGTAACCAGCTATATTTCTTGAATTCACCGACTGCTAGTTTGGATGAAATACGAAAGTGCAAGGTTTCTTGATCTAAACTAGGAATAAGTGGTTTGAAACACTCAGTCATTTAACTGGAAACAACAAATATTTGAGAAAACATATATTCGCAGTAATTTCGATGATTTAATGAATTTCATTATCATAATTAGTCAGTGTTATACATACAGAAAACTATCATTACGACAGCAAATCTAATCAACAAATGGAATCGAATACTATTAGAACTAAAGTGAAACAATGTGAAGATAACTGCTGACTGCAGTTTGAGTGCATACATATTACTAACTAAATTGTGATATTAGATTATGTTACTGAAACTGGGTGATGATTCAAGGTGAGGTGAAAACCTGTGTTGTAACACGATTTGCACCAGCGGCCTCCATGCTACCATCACACAGCTCTGCTAACCGAGCTGCGATGCCAGTTATCAACAAAAGCAATCTCCCAAACCACGGGTACCTCAAAAACACCAATGAAACTTCGTGACGGAAACTTTATATATATATATATATATCTTCTATTTTCTCGCTATTTACTGGACCGAAATGATAGACTAAAACCAATATATGGCCTCCCGAGAGGAGGCCTGGATATTACTGGTAATTTCATTTTGATACTAGTTATGGGTAACGTCTAGCAGTGTAATCTAGGTTGTACGTTTTCTTTTTGGGACATCAGCTAAATGATGCAGTTCACATTTAGACTCGAACTCAGTGCACACTGGATTCCTTTAAACTTTTCTGGCCTTAAACAGTACAAGAAACAACCTCAAGACTGAATACTACATTAAGATAATTGAGAATAGCATTAAGAGCGGCAAGGAAAATAACTATTTTATCGTAGACTACTGAAACATACAAAAACTAGAAAATTAATTTCTGGAAAATTTTTCGGATATTACAGGTAATTAACGGAAACATTCATTCATTTCTTTCGATTTCGAAATTTATATGGAACGAGAACAGAAAATGAAACGCAATAATACAACCTCATTTTTATCCCAAGCACATCTCCGCAGGTTACAGCCCAAGCAATAGCAAAGTGCATCTGTTATGATAAAAATAGTCATATACCATTATCAAACTGATAAGAAATCGGTCGTAGGAACAGGAAGTTGCATAGGTTCTGTCTAGTGCAGGCCAGTGAATATAAGTGTAAAGCTTAGGCACTGTGGCAGAATGTTATTCCATATTAGATCTGTTTATTCGATTTATAGCACAGTGATACAGTATTATTTAATTGGTGACGTTTCGAGCATAAATTATCACTGCTCATAATCATATCAATGGAATCACACTACTTTCATCATCTGATTTTCATAGTTATCTCACTTCATATTATTTGCTTTTAATGGTAGTAACATTTTCCATATCTCTGGTATAGGTGTTGTGTCATTTCTACTACATGTGGTGGGTGTGGATTCGATGAACAAAACTTTCGTGATCAACCTCTCTCTCCACCTAATTATATTGGACATAAGTACAGTGGTTTCATCCTACCCATCATATTGTGTGGTTGTGTTCATACATGCATTGCAATAGCCCAGTGTTTTTCTAGCTTACTGATCTTATTCGGGTCTGTCATTCTGTTTATCTAGATTCTAATGTTCGACTGTTCTAACTAACCCCGGCCGGCTGGTTTCACTTATGTACTTGACCTCAAAGTCATTACATAGGATTTGATAGATTAGAGTATTTTTGTTTAATTGGTTCCGTCAGATTCTCAAGTCGACAAAGCTTATCTCTGGGTGAGTTTGTAGGTTTAAATGTTACTCTAATTCCAGCTTTGTTGAGGATCCTATGTATAGTTTCTGGTGAATCTTCCTTAAACAGTAACACAATGGAGTCTGTGAACTCCTCTCTACTCGCATTGTCGTTATAATTCGTACTCGTGTTACTGTTATCTTTTGGTTCCTTGTGAGTTCGTACGAATTTCTTGATAAAATGTAGAGGATAATTATTAACTATTAGCGCTTCTTTTATGTGCCTCAGTTCCTTGTTTAGGTCCTTACACTGACTAATCAGTTTTCTAGCGCTATCATTTAGACATTTGACTAAACCTGCCATACTGACATTAGATGAGATGACTTGAAGCCTAGACACCTGTTGGAATGTGTCAGCTTTCTGTAGACGGTAATATCCAAACCACCGTCTGTCCTTTTTATGGTGCAAGCCAACATAGGTAATTCTCCTTGTTCATTTTCTACCTCGTAAGTGAATTGCATTGCGCCTACTACTGAGTTTATATGTGCGAGGAAATTGTCCCACCCTATAGGGTGGGATGAAACCACTGTACTTATGTCCAATATAATTAGGTGGAGAGAGAGGTTGATCACGAAAGTTTTGTTCATCGAATCCACACCCACCACATGTAGTAGAAATGACACAACACCTATACCAGAGATATGGAAAATGTTACTACCATTAAAAGCAAATAATATGAAGTGAGATAACTATGAAAATCAGATGATGAAAGTAGTGTGATTCCATTGATATGATTATGAGCAGTGATAATTTATGCTCGAAACGTCACCAATTAAATAATACTGTATCACTGTGCTATAAATCGAATAAACAGATCTAATAGGAAAGTGAAATTGGAAGATTTTTCAGCGAGTCTGAGATAACTAGGTGAATATTTTTTGAAAGAGATTAGAGATTAAGATGTGGGCTGAAATAAGAGATTACTAGATAAGGAAAATTAACTTTATGCATTAAATGACGGACAATGGTTTGAAGAACAGTGTTCAGATTCCGGTTGTCTGTTTGAACCCTAGACTACCGAAAATTTCCAGCAAAATATACAAAGTAAATTCTTTCCTTTCAGTTTGTTTCAGTCAACTGAATATGTCATCCGAACCATATCATGTACTCTTGCTAATTCTTAAAATGTTGTCATACATTTCTCGAGTTAATATCAAACGAAGAAAAAATATGACGTCGAATTGGAAATGGAAATCCAATTTTCAGTTCACAAAAATGCACTACGCTCCTGGAATACTTAGGTTGAATTGGAAATTCTTGTACTGACTCAATGAGCCACCACCACTGAACTTGTGTTAGCTTTTCTGTTCATTCTCCATTCTAGATTGGATGCTAATCTTAAAGCAGTTGCCTGTTTCACATTATCATCTTTAATACCGTTATTTTTAACATTATTCAGACTCAATAATCATTTCGTTTGAAGATATTATTCTTAGAGTGATCTTGTTGAGGATTCCACACTATATCAATCATGTTGCTTGGAATAAAGCGATTATTATTATTATTAGTAGTAGTAGTAATAATAATAATAATAGTAATGGTAATAGTAATAGTGACAGTAACAGTAGTGTGGTGTAGTCTGAAGTACAGCGGAAGAGAAAGAATATTAAAGTGACTTTGGAAACTTTTGGATATATTTTTGGCAACAAAAATAACTTGTTGAATAGGTAAATTACGTTTAAGCCTTTTGATGAAAATGGATTCATTAATTTGCAGTAAGCATGAATTATTCTATCTACATTGTATCCATCTCCCACTAGTTGACATCTAATCGTTCTATGGAATATTCGTGAACCTGTTTCC